CGACGGTGCTGGAGTCGAGGGAGAAGCTGAGGTGGACTCGCCGGAGGCGCGGGACGTCCCTGAACAGGACCACCACCGGGTTGGCGTCGTGGATGCACACGCCAGGTCTTCCAGCGCGGCGGCGTGGTTCAGCTGGATGCCGAGGAACAAGCAGCGCTCGACGACGAGCTCCGTGATCGGCGCCGCCGCCGCCGCCGACGATGGCGGTGGCGCGTCCACCACCAGGGCGAGGTCCCTGCAGTGGCATTTCTTGAGGTGGAGCTTCTTCAGGTGCGGGAAGCCCGAGGAGGAGAAGAGGCGGGCGTAGACGAAACCCTGCGTCGACCTCGGCAGGTCCTCCAGGACAAGAATGGTGAGCGCGACCGGCATCGTCGACGCCAGGGGGACAATTCCTCAGCGTGAGCTTCGTCAGGCGCAGCGGCGGCATGTCGGCGCCGACGACGGGTTGGAGGAAGAGGAAGTACCATACCTTACAGCGGCGCGGGCTTGATGGCCACCTCCAGCTCCTCGACACCCCACAAGCCGACGGCCGTGTTGATCAGCCGGTGGACGCAGCCGATGCGGTGGGCGTCGTTCGTGGCGAAGAACTCCACCGTGAGCCTGCTGACACACCGGCGTTCTTCCGAGGCGGCGCCGGCGTCGAGGAAGCCGGTGATGGACTCGGCCAGGCCCCGTATGACGCGTCGCTCGTACCGCGCCAGGGATGCCTCGAGCTTCCTCCCGGCGGCGTCGTCGCCGCGCCCTCCGAGGAGGGCGAGGAACTCGGCGGCGCGCTGGTGGTAGCCCCGCGGGTGCGCGTCGCTGACACGGAAGTCGAGCGCCGGGAGCTCGCGCGGGAGGCGCGCCCAGCGGCGGGACAGCGCGTCGGTGCCGAGCGCGGAGCAGGTGCCGAGGCCGCGCATGACGATGAGCAGGAGCTCGTCGGGCAGCGCACTGAGGCGGTCGTCGCCCTCGCTGTGGGACGCCGCGCGCGGCGGGGCGCTCCGACGCCGACGTCGCGGACGAACAGCCATTGTCACGGCAACACTGACACAAGTTGCCGAACGATTTGTATTTGAAAAAATATATAAAAAAGAAAATTGCCGAAGGATTTGTATTTGAAAAAATAATAATAAAAAAGAAAGTTGCCGAAGGATTCCGATTCGGTCTCGGACTCACGCCGGAGTAAGAACAATGTCACTAACCAACACAGTCACCTCACCCCGGAAATCATCGGTTTTCCTGCAATTCCAAGGTCACGACATTTGTTAGGACCAAATTGAATTTACTTGCAAAATACCCGTACTATTTTTTTACTTAAGACACTACCAGGCTTTTGTTAAAATTTTGTACAATATTAAGGAAAACTATATAAATGGAGTTAAAAAAAGGGTGAACAAATTTTACAAACTTTGCAACCATTCAAGAACTGTTTGTTGCAATGAATCTTTCATCCTACAACTATGGAGAACTACTTTCTTGAACAAAGCAAATCATGATTCCACGTCTAACCTTGTACCTTAGAAAATACAACCATTTGTCTCCTTCCAGATATGCCAACAAGAAAAATAAGAATTCTGTTACCCTTAATTAGATATGCCAACAAGAAAAATAAGAATTCTGTTACCCTTAATTTGTTAGCGGATTAAACAAGAACTTAAATGTATGGTATCACTAAACAAGCAAAATGTGTTACTAACCGGTGCTAAAGATGATTTTTAGTCTCGGTTTGTATAATTGAGACTAAAAATACCCATCATAAGTCCCGCATTGTGTGTCCCAGTTACATAACTGGAACTACAAAGGGTTGCCAACCGGGAGTAAAGTGATTATCCCCAGCGATGGATCCTACGATGATAGTTGAATATTTTTGCTTGTTCAATAACCATGTGATTTACATTGTCTAACTATAGCACACAACTAAAAGAAATTAATGATAACATCTAAATATCACTATTTTCACTACTTTACTACTAGAGAACAGAGACTTATAATATCGAAAAATCAATATTTTCACTATTTTAAATTTAACCATATAGCATCGAAAGTTACTAGTTTACTTTAACAACACCATAAGTTAATTTCGTTCTATAATTTAGCCGCTTTTGCTGAGTAGGCGATTGAAATAAGAAGGAATTTCAATCACCTAGGCTTGGCCGTTGGATCAATGGCCAGGGCATCATCTACACCATTGGACCAAGGGAGGCAGGAAGAGAGGAAAGGAAGGGAGGAGGGAGTTTGCTTATCGACCGGTGATCGGGACTTCCTTGGCAAGCCTACGCTACCGATGCCTAAACACCGACATGCTACCTATGTATTAGCGTTCTAGGGTAGGAGGGCGGTTAGGGTGGATTTAGAGGGATATTTAGGGTGGCTTATTACCTATGGTTGGCGGCGGTGGCCTACGGAGATGGGAGGGCGACGAGGCACCGGAACTGCGGGTATGGAGGAGGGTGGTGGGTAGGGTCGGCGGTGGCAGCAAAGGATGTCATCAGATCTAGTTGAAAGGTATGGTTAGTAGATCTGGATTTGGCTGTGTGAGCCACCCGAGATGGGGGATGAGAGATAGGGCGGGGAAGCTTACTGAAGTTATTGAAGAGGGCGACGACATCGGCGTGGAGGAGCAGCATGGGAAGGAAGGGAGACGGAGGGGTGTGTGGGTGAGAATCTTGGCCCGCCGCTGGCACGATTTTGGCGAGGTACCACAAATGGAGGTGTGGTGCGTTGGTGTGGGGACGATTTGCGGCGGCGGGGTGGAGTTTGAGGAGAAGAGATAGGGTTAGGGTTACCTGATTTGCACGAATCTTGATGAGATCTGAACCAATGAAAAATGAACTAATGGTGGATAGAGAAATATTAGGCAACACATTAATAGGAGGCCTCCAATTTAGCACACAGCCCAAACTTCCGTTACCTTTTCCTAGGTTAATCATTCCTTCTTTACCACTTTTCTGTTCCGGTTCACGAGCATGCACCATTGGCAAGTGACACATTAGTGGGTGAGTTATAGAAAATATCACATATTTGCTACTCATCAGGTGACGAAAAATGTAAAAACCATTAGTCGAATATGCCCACCATCGATCCATGTGTGTGAATCACACTCTAGCTGTCCTTCTTGATCAAAATGTCTTTTCCAACTATAGGAGATGTGGCAGAACCACTGGATTAGCATTCGGGGGGTTGTCATGGGAGATCAAGGAGGAGAGGTCGGTCGGGGGGATTTGGCTAGAGCTGAAGAAGACGATGAGATGTCGACGGATTTGGCGGGGATTCGGGATGAGAGAGGGAGCCGCTGGTGGGCCTCGCAAATGCTTGCCGATGAGGGGAGGTGGTGGGGAGGGTGTCGGCAACCTGACAGATCAAATGTACAGGACAAGGAAGGGATATGTCTAGGATAAGTGTTGCAGAAGTCTCTGAGCAACCCTAGCCATAAAAAATGTAATTTCCATTTAAGCAAAAAAATAATAATGAATACACTACCCAAGAATGCAAATTAGGAATAACCAAAAGTAAAAGTTATACCATGAAGTTGAAGGTTTTTACATATACAGGTTTAAGTAATGCAACTTTTGTAGGTGATTGATTAGCATAGCCTCTTGTTAGGCAATGGTGTAGCCTATGTGCTTGAGATCATTGATGTGCATGAGAAGAGGATAGATGTGGTCTAGATTGCAAAAAAAAAATGTCAAAGTTTTGTACCCTGGGGTGAAAGCACACAATGAAACTTTCACAAAGATGCTCAAACTACAATTTACTCATTAATAACAAATATAAAACTTCCATCGAATGAGAGAAAGAGTTTATTTTTGGATTTTGGCAAAATAAATAAATAAATAAATACACACATATCCAAGTGAATTGGAGTCCTGTCCACAGAGAATGTGTGTGTTAGATGCAAACAGCACACATACAAGGGTTGTGGAAAGATTTGAGTAATTATGGCCATCAAAGTGTAACTGACATTTATAAGAAAAAATATATATGCATGATAAATACACAATCCAAAAACACAAATTAGGAAACTTCGAAAGTAAAAGTTATACCATGAAGTTGTGTGGCATCCTGGCCCAATTAGGACCGACGAGGACATCGGGTCCTTTGAGGGTGTGTGTGTTGGGGGGGGGGAGCTCCTGACTCAATTAGGATGTAGCATGTGTGGCCCATAAGAGCTATGTGTACATGTTTAGTACCACAGTGCTACTTTAGCAAGGGTGACCTTTTAAGTAGGCCTGTCCGTCGATTGTGTTGGGCTGCACAGTTATGAAGGGCGGGCGGTTACAAGTTGAAGCTTTCTTATGTGCAAGTTTGAGTTATGTAACTTTTAAGTGATTAATTAGCCATATCTATCCTCTCCAAAGACAAAGGTGCAACATGCATGCACACAGGTGGGAGGCTCATTGGCATGCACGAACCATTGTACTCGAGGTCATTGATGTGCTTGCAGTTGAGGCAATCCAAATTGCCGAAAAGGGAATCTCCTTCAGGAGTTCGCATCACATAGCGGGCTTTGGCTTCTATCTATTTACGGTGTGTTTAGTTCCTGAAAAAAGTTGAAAATTTGAAGAAAGTTGAGAGTTTGGAAAAAAAAACTAGAAGTTTATGTGTGTATGAAAGTTTTTGATGTGATATGATATGATGGAAAGTTGAGAATACGTGAGAAACTAAACACGGCCTTAGTGGAAGGAGCCATCCCTATTTGTGGCAAGGAGTGGATAGTCCACCAATTCCAATTATAATTTGCCAATGACTTGTTTCATGGCTTTAATTTGAGCCACACATCGTACGTTGGAAACAAAAATAACCACATTATAGCAGGTCAAGCAGTGGAAAAGAAGACCTCTGACCACATGTTTGTTCAAGAATAAGCTGGTGACTAGTAATTGGATTTTGACTTTTTCTTGCATTGTTATTTAAAAAATTTGTACAAATATAAAAAAAGTTGTACATAAAGTACTTTAGATAATAAAGTAAGTCACAAATAAAATAAATAATAATTTCAATTTTTTTTTAAAGACGAATGGTCAAAAAGAGCAGGCAAAAGGGAAGAAAATTATGTAGGACTGAGGTCCTACCCTCCTCCGAAAGACTTGGCTCCTCTATGTGACACCTGTCCCACACGAATCTCAGAGCAGCTTACTCCCTCGTCTCTCCAGTTCCCATTCTCTTCCTTTGCTCGGTGAGGCAGCGAGCTCGCGTCTGACCAGCGAGCTTTAGCCGTGCGCCCCCTGGCGTTGAGCAGCATCAAGTCCAAGCTCGCGCTGCCGGCTTGCCGCTAGTCTGCTAGAAGAACTCTCATGATTTGGACGAGACTGCGCTGTCGACTCGAATCTGCTACATGATTATTCACTGATTCGATTTTTCTTGCCTCATAGCGAAATTATTCAATGATTTGATTTTTCTTGCCGTTGAGTTTGCTCTGTATGGTGTACTGCACTGATAATCATTGCTGGTGATTGACTTGAAGGATTTCTTTCTTTTTGCCGGGTGAGCATTTTAGGATTATAGCGTTAATTTATTGATGTTTCTTCTCGACGAGCGCCTCATGTGAGCTTGGATGCTTTCACGTTACTGATATCGTTTGATTCCGGCGTTAGCGACAACCTGCCGAGCTTCATGCCGCTCACCCGCTGGTCGGACGCGAGCTCGCCGCCTTCACCGAGGAGAGGAAGAGAATGGTGAACTGGAGAGACGAGGGAGTAAGCTGCTCTGAGATTCGTGTGGGACAGGTGTCGCATAGAGGAGCCAAGTCCTTCGGAGGAGGGTAGGACCTCAGTCCTACATAATTTTCTTCCAGCAAAAAGTGAGTAGCAAATATCAATCTAAAACTTCCATCTAATCAGATTAACAGATTTTTGTTCGGACACTTTGTTCTCAAAATCGAAATCATAGAAATCCACGCGAGAGAATTCTGTTGGGAGGCATCCACGCGAATCGGAGTCGTCCGCACGAAGACGGAGATTTGGTCCTGCACTCTACTCTAGATCGCAAAACCGCACGTACGGAACCCCGCGGCCATGGCCGCGCCCGCGGGCAACGTCGAGACCCCTCCTCGCCGCCGCGTGCGCCGCCGCATCGCCGCCGCCGCGGCCGATGACGGCGGCGAGGTCGACGACGATGGCCTCAGCGTGCTGCCCGACGAACTGCTCCTCGTCATCCTGGGCCGGCTCGACACGCGCACGGCGCTCGCCGCCGCCGCGCTCTCGCGGCGCCTGGACCGCCTCGCGCGCGAGATCCCCGCGCTCGTGTTCAGCGTCCGCGACGTGCTCCCGCCGCGCTACCACGCCTGCGTCCGCGCCCACGGCGACGCCGCCGGCGCGGACGCCAGGAAGCTCGACGCGGCGATCGGCCGGTGCGAGCGCCGCGCCATCCGCGGGTTCGCCGACTGCGTCAGCGCCTTCATGGAGCCGCGCGTCGCCGTCGCCCCGCGCCGCGCCAGGAGTCTCCGGCTCGAGTTCTTCGCGGCGCGCAGCACGGGCTTCGTCGAGGACCTGATCGCCATGGCGGTCGGCGCGTGGGGCGTCGAGGACCTCGACATCACCGTCGTCAAGCCGGCGCTGGTCGAGCAGGGCCCCTGCTACGCCTTCTGCTTCCCCGACCACCGCCTCAGCGCGGAGTCGCTCCGGTCGCGCATCCGCAGCCTCGCCGTGTCCAACTGCTTCCTCCCGCCGCCGTCCGAGCTCCGGCACTACGCCGCGCTCACCAAGCTCGTCCTGCAGGACACGCACCCGCGGACGCCCCTCGCCTTCTACCGCCAGGTGCTCGACGCGTGCCCGCGGCTCAGGGCGCTCCACCTCCGCCGCTGCGGCGCGCCGTGGTACGCCGCGCTGGTGGTCGACGGGATGCCGGAGCTCCGCGAGCTCGTCGTGGACGGCTGCGGCTTCCACACCGTCGACCTGCGCGCGGCGCCGGCGCTGGAGCGCGTGGCGTGCGTGGACGGCCCCGTCGCGCTGGCCTTCGGCGGCGCCCCGCGCCTCGCCCGCCTCAGCCTCACCTACGCGCTCGACGACCGCCTGGTGCTCGTCCGGAACTGGAGGCTCTCCGGCCTCCTCGGCGACGCCCCGGCGATGGCGGAGCTCCTCGTCCGCTTCACCGGCGAGCCCAAGTGGATGACCTCGGGACCGCTCCGCTCGCCGCTGCCCGGCCTCCGCAGGCTCGTCGTCGCCGACATGCCGTCCAACTGGGACGTGTCGTGGCCGCGCGTCATCCTCGAGGCGGCGCCATGCCTCGAGGTCCTCCACATCCACGTCCAAGAAGAAGAAGACGACGCCGGGACAACGGCGGCGGCGGCGGCGGAGATACCATGGCCGCCGGCGGAGAGCGCGCGGCACGAGCGCCTCGCGGAGCTGGCGGTGGTGGGGTTCGCCGAGACGCGGGGGCAGGTGGGGTTCGTGAGGCACGTGGTGGAGGCGTGCGTGGCGCTGCGGCGCGTCGTGCTGGTGAGGCGCGGGCGCGTCGTGGTCGGCAGCGAGGGGCGGTACTGGGACTGGAAGCTGGTGGCGGCGGAGGCGGCGGCGCCGCGTGAGGGGGAGGTGGGAGGTGGCGGCGGCGACGGCGAGCGCCCGACGGCGGCGGCGGAGTGGAGCGAGGTGGAGAAGATGGTGATACGGAGCCAGGTGAAGAGCGCGTCGAGGCCTGACGTGGAGGTGTTCATTGGATGACGTATGCTATCACGAGTCCACAAACACTTTTTGGACCTAGTGCCGATTGTATGCGTAATTGCGTATAAAGGGTGTATATGATATTTTCACATCTAAAATCTTAAATCTTAGGGATAATTGCATATTTGCGCTCGTTTTGAAGCTTATCTATTAAATGACCCTACTTTCTTATAGTTTGCTTATTTGGCTCTGCTTTTCAAGAATGAATACCCTGTCTGACCCTATTTCCACTACAACGTTACGGTTTCATTTTTTTAAAAAAAATATAATTATTATTCGTAATGACCAAACTACTCTCAAACCCTATCCATTCCCTCCCCCTCTCTCGTATTCCGGTTGAGGTGGCGGCGCACGGAGGGGACGAGCCGGCACGGCCACTCATGGAGGGAGGTAGCGGCTGCGGCGGAGGGACCGGACCCGCGGCAACGCGTGTGCGGAGGAGGCTGCGGGTGCAGAGAAAGGAGCGGCGACGACGGCGGTGGTGGCCTCTCTCCCACGTGCTGGTGACCTCCGGCGCGGCACAGGGCACCATTCCCTCCCTCCATGGGCGCGTCGTCACCGCTCGTCCTTTGTGCGCTGGCCTGCTTCCTCCGCACACGTGATGCCGCTGCCCACCCTCCACACATCGACGAGCTCCTTCGCCACACAGGGCGCTGCTTCCTCCCTTCCCGCGCCCCGGCCTCCGTCTTCCTCTGTTTGAGCCCCGCCGCCGGGTCGGCCGCGACGACGACGACGCCGTGGCAAAGAGGATGGGTGGTTGACAAATCCAAAATTTTGTTATATTTTATTTATATTTTTATAAAATAGAGTCAAATAAGCAAGGGTAGAAGGGGCAATTTTTGCTCCGATTAAAACTGTTACATGCTCTTAATGGAATAGGGTCAGATTGTATCTTCAATTTTGAGAAAAATGGTCAAATAAGCAAAGTTGAAAGAAGATAGTCAAATTGGTAGTTAGTCCTCAAAACATGGTCAAATGCACAATTGCCCCAAAATCTTATTATTGTGTGTGAGGCAAAGGTCCGATTGGTTGGTAACTAAGAGCATCACCAACAGATTATCTATAATTTTCTCCTAAAAATTTGGTTTTGGGTTTCTTAAACTAAAAATAGAAGTGAAAAAACTCCTCCCTCCAACAGATAGCCTAAATTAAATCCCCAAAACTTAAAAAGTGGGCCCTTCTGTTAAACTACTAACATAAAATTCCGTTTTTTTCTTTTATGTGCAGAAAGATCGCTATCTCCCACGCTCGGGAACGGAGGAGAGAGGCGGGATTGCGAGATTGGGAGCGACTTCCGCGCCCGCATATAAACGGAGCAAGGAATGGGGAGAAGGGAACTCCAAAACTCGGGTAGGAGAGTAGGGGATCTGTTGGAGTTGTTTTTTTTTTTTTTTGACTAAAATCCCTCAAAATTAGTTTTAGAAATCATATAGGTAGATTGTTGGTGATGCTCTAAGGGTGGGTTTTGATGGGAGGTTTTGGATGGATAGGACATGACGACCCTTTTTTTTATTGTTTATTACCTCTCTCCTAAAATAAATTTATTTTTCACCCATCTCACACATACCAAAAGACTAAAATACTCATATTTTTTTTCCAATCTCAATACAATTATTTTTCACTTTATCTACTTCCAATATAATTATTCTTTGTTTTCACAAATTTCAATGCAATAATTACTTAAAAATTAAATTTATTTTAAGACAAATGAGATGAGTAAAAAAACTTAATATGAATAGGAGGAAATAATTTATATTCCAACCTTTGCTTCAACCATACTCCAGTTGTACCAAATTTCAGATCTCACTGTCCATCGCTGCCCGAAGACAAATCGTGTCCACGGCGGAATCACAAAGCCCCCGATCGGACGGCCGATAAATCGCCGGCGATTTGATCCGACGGCTGGTAAATGCTCAAGCGCGACTCATCTCCCCCCAACCTTCTCAACCCACGAGGTGGGATCTCACGGCCTCATCGGCGGGCGAGATGAACGCCTTCAGGCTCGCCGGGGACATGACGCACATCATGAGCGTCCTCGTCCTCCTGCTCAAGATCCACACCATCAAGTCTTGCGCTGGTGAGTGACTGATCAGCCGACTGGCGCCTGCTTAAGATGCATTTTTTTTTACTGTATTGAGTCCTGGATTGGTTGCCAGCAGCTCAAGAAAGGTAGAGTTCTGGATCTTGGGGGGGAATAGGGGACGCTAGCACAATGCTGTTTAGTGAGGGCTAAGATTGGTGGTGCTTGTGGATGGATTCTGAGGCTTTAGAGACTGGAAGTTTAGAGGGTTTGAGGAAATTAATCTTGGCTTTTTGGATGCAATTGGAATGGTTAAGATGTAGGTTTGGTAGTTGTACATTTGAGGCTGGATCCTGGAGGAAATGTTGGATCTTGGCTTGCTCTGGTAACGGCGGTGGCGTTGCATAAGGGCCTATGCTTTTTGGAAGATTTCAGTGATATTGCCACTCCATTGTTTTGCTAAAATTAGAGATTGGTAGGTTAGATTCTCCTATTATTTTTGCCTTCCCCCATCTTTTTTCTAACAATACTGATTGATTGTTAGATTCTCTGGAAAATTTGAGGACAATGTTGTGTTGTCTATGTTTTGTAACGCACTTTTGTCGACTTATTGATTGTTATTGTGTTAAAACCAGAGTGGTATCATATATGGGGACCTGTCCTGGTCATTTGCATTTGTGTTTCTTAAGGATCCCATGTACAGAAAATTTTCATGTCCTGGTTCAATCATATCTGTCCCCAAGGGGCCACATGACATAAAATTTTCATATCCTGGTTTTTTGTTGTGAAATGATAGATCAGGTATATGCGGATTTATCACATGGAACGGTAAAGGTATTGAACTTGTCATGTATCCATTTGCATTTTTTTCATTTTTGCTACTCAAAACTTTTTATATATGTTTCATAATTTGAAGGAACTAAACTTGTAATAGTTTGTCCATTAAAGAAGCCTTTTTGCTGGTCACTACTCACTATTCAGACCCGATTTAACTGCTTGCACATCATGGGTGTCATGTTTGTGGTTCGTATGTAAGAGGCCCTCAGAATTACTGCAGTGCTGTACCACTTTTAAATTATGCTAGCGTGTGTCAGCATGCGGCCAAGTAATTTACGAATTGTATTCATAGAACCAGAACATTGAATGGCTAAGATTATGTGTTGCTCCAGAATTTAATAATAACGAGTTGGTGAATTCCAATAATGTGGTTGCTCTCATAAGTGCAGCAAATACCATCATTCCTGTAATTTTCAATTTTTCCCTTGTAGACACATTAGATTTTGGAGGATGCTTGTTTTGAACAATGTCTGTATCACTCACTCAAGAAGTATCATGAACATAAAATCAATTTTTAATTTCTTTTTTCTTGTAGGTGTTTCCTTGAAAACACAGGAGCTATATGCTCTTGTTTTCGCCACTCGCTACTTGGACATATTTACAGACTTTATATCCCTATACAATACAGTCATGAAGATGATTTTCCTGGGTAGCTCATTCTCAATTGTTTGGTATATAAGGCGCCACAAGATGGTCCGCAGATCATATGATAAGGATCACGATACATTTCGACATCAATTTCTTGTTCTACCATGTTTTCTTTTGGCCTTGCTTATACATGAGAAGTTCACTTTTAGGGAGGTACTTCATCAAATCAACTTCTTGAAGTTGTAGAAAATATAAGCTTCCAATGATAATTTATCTCAGCTTTTAGGTCTGAATTGATATATTCCCCTTTAGTTTTATTACTTCTATAAGTTATGACCAAACTTTTTTGGGGTTTATCCGAATTAGGTGATGTGGACGTTTTCCATTTATCTGGAGGCTGTTGCAATTCTTCCTCAACTTGTACTACTACAGCGTACACGGAACGTTGATAATTTAACAGGGCAATATGTGTTCTTCCTAGGGTAAGTTTTGAATATGGATACCATTTTCTTTTGAGAAAACACAACTTTCAATATTTTCTGATCCATCTCTGAAGCGGTTAAACCCCAATTGTTGCTTGTGTCTTGTTGATGTTAGTTGTGCTCAAAATATAGTCCACATTTAATCAATGAGCACATAATCTTTCATCTTAATTATTCTTTCAGGCTCCTAAGTTCAACATAGTCGAGCACTGATCATTTTGCATTATCATGTTAAGTTTTTTGTTTACCCTTTCCAATGATTTAGCTGTTTTTCTTCCATGGATAATAAGATGCATATGCAACGTTATCAGTTAGAAATTTTCAAATGATGTACACCATAATGTATTCCATTGTCATCTATTTAAATAAGGGCATGTGTTGTTAAAGATATTTCAGACTTGAATGATGTGTCTAATGTCTACTGTTTTTTTAGTCAATGAGAAACATGGTCATTGGAAATAGATTCATACCAAATATGGTTTCAGTAAGACAAAATCCTAAAATTAATCAGCATTGTATCAACATGGTGACTATGTTGCAAAGTAACCATTTTTTTCCAGGTTCAGAGAACTTCTGTGGAGAACATGCGATGTAACATGAAACTGTCCCCTTTTGTCATTACCGTAATTTGTTTCTCCATTCATCTTTTTGGTCAGTTTGATTGATGGAATCAATTGTCCCTATTTGTGCTTCTACTCCACATGCTAGTGCTTGCAAGGATTTTCTTTTTTGACATTTGACTTGTATATCATCACATTGTCCTTGTTAGAGGTAACCAGGCCAGAAATTCAGAAACATGTACACATTATAAGTTTACGCAGTGGACTTTATCCATTTCATTTTCAGATTCTATGCACCATTATTCTCCATTGGAAGTCAGTATGTTCTTTAGTTAGAAATCTTGACGTTTTCATTTTCGCATTGATTGACATGATGCAGCGCATACCGAGCATTATACATCCTCAACTGGGCCTACCGCTACTTCACTGAGCCACACTATGTGCATTGGATAAGTATGTCATATCTAGATTGCGTTATTCTGTATTTAATTTAATATATATGCATTGGGAGCAATCTACAACAATTTATGTGTGTTTCTTAAACAGCCTGGATATCAGGATTCGTGCAGACATTGTTGTATGCAGATTTCTTCTATTATTACCTCAATAGGTAAGCAATCTGCCTTTAATTTCTCACTCTTTCCATTTAATGAAATTTCATGTCGCAATGTTGCACCAAGTCTTCTAGCAATAACTAATAAACAATACCGGACATTTTTGCAGTTTGAAGAACAATGTGAAGCTCACCCTACCAGATTGACAACTCAACTAATGATTGTAACTTTTGGTGTTGTATCATCTGAAATGTGGGTGGCTTGGCATGTCCAACCAGAAAAAACAAAGATCAGGAAAAAAATTGTTTTCATACAGTTCTGAGAGGTGTGACAATAGAACAGTGCAGTAGCATATGTTGAAATTGTGGTGTGCTCCATTATGAGGAAACCGCAGATGTCTATGTTGTACATTTGAAAATCTTGTAGACGATACACTGTAAATTAAAGAGATAATTGCCCATTGCACTATGGAGATGAATATTACTCTGGGTGATCAGTTGTTTGTCAAGAGAACCTTGAAACTTTTAAGACAGTATATGTGACTCTTTCTACAGCATTGCCATGAGCTGCTATTGTTAAACTCTTTGTCATCATTTTGATCAGCCTAAAATTTAAATCGTAAAATCCAAGACTTTCTAGAGCAATGTGATGTGCATGTTTAGTTTGAAGAGATCCTATAGTGACAGTTCACAAAAATCATATATGCAATTGTTGGAGCTGTGACTTGTAAGTAGCATCCAATTTTGAAATGTTGTTTGAATAAATTCAGGACTTTGTTTTTTGTCACTTCTGCCACTTTAACTTTAGCTTTTGGACCACTAACAAAAGAAGTATAAAAGTATTTTACCTTTGAAATTGCTTTCGTTGTTTATGTCCAGGGTTGACAAATATGATAGTAAATCACTTAATTATTGTGGTTATAGGACATAGAGTTGGCATGAATTTCGAAACCGTTCGAGGCCAAATTTATTCAAATTAAAATCCAAATATTTGGCAAAAATTGTTTGAATTTTACCATAGCCGAACGGTAATAGTTGTAACCAATAAAACTGCTCGGGAGCGTTGTTCCGTGAGTGAACGATTTTGTGATCCTTGCTTTGGTCATGTATGATGTATCTCTGGCTTATGCGCCATTAAGAAAAAAAACTTCCAAGCAAGTTTAATAATATAACCAATTACTAGCTTCAAAAAATTGAAACATTATCTATAGCCAACCTAATATCCCACTCATATAATAGTCAGTTATAGATATATATTGCATCATTAAAACCAAATCCACTCATTTCTCACAAACTTTATTAGAGGTCGTGCTATAGCTGGCTACAAATCTATAATCTATTTTTTCTTCTCTTTGCTCTCCGCTCTTCTCCACATAAGAACATATGTGATGTATTAACTTGTGCAGCCCACTTACACCACAAAAGAACAAATGTCAACTTGTACAACATGCTTATATCGCCTTATTGTACTCGCTATAATGAGTTGTCTTTAGTAGTTCGTATGAATCCAAGTCAGCATGAACTCCCTACCACAAATATACAAAATAGCAGCTTCATAAAAGACAAAACTACAAAAAATCCAGCATGTACCTTTTTTTTTACAGCCACCAAGAAAAGATGAACCTACCCGACTCTCTCAATTAACGCATGACCCATCAACCAAAACAAGGGTTAAGCCGAAGGAGAAGGGCGTCGCTGCCCCCTCCCCCCTTCCTCCAACATGCAACTTACTACTACGTGCTATTAATATCTAACCTATCTAATCATCAATTATGTAAAAGAAAATGGGTCTAACAATATACTCCCTCCGTTTCATATTATATTATAAGTCGTTTGACTTTTTTCTAGTCAAAATTTATTAAGTTTGACCAAGTTTATAGAAAAATTAAGTAACATATAAAATATCAAATTAGTTTAATTAAATCTACCATTGAAATATTTTGATAATATATTTGTTTTGTATTGAAATACTATTATATTTTTTAGAAACTTGGTCAAACTTGAAGAAGTTTGACTAGAAAAAAATTGTCAAACGAATTATAATATGAAACGGAGGGAGACATCACTATGTGGCTAATATTTCAATTTCAAATCTCTGAAATACTAGCACTTGTAATTTCTTTGTTCATTTTGTCTTTTTTTGTCTATTTATTTGTCTATTTATCTAGATTTTTAGCTCAGATGATTTTATCATCGTTTATAATTTATTTGCTCATTGCTTATAAAGCTGAATTGAAATAAATAAATATGTTACAAATTATAGCTACATGATAAGCCTATATATTATATTATCATTTTTTATGTTGATATGATATATTACCTATGAAAAATCTTAAAATTTGTGTATATTTTTATACTACTTTTTTTATTGTAATCACTTATTAAGTTGAACCCCCTCATACTGAGATCCTGGCTTCACCATTGAACCTAAACACATCATTTAATTTCATATCAACCCATCGTCCAATGAAACCTAATTCTTGGCCTCATTGGATTAACTCCATCCATCCTGTCCCAAGTTAGTACTACTTACCACCCTTTATCAGTTGTGAGAAACCTCAATGGTCACGGTTTCCCTTCTCAATAAAATCATATATGCAATTTTGTTTGAGCAAAGTTTTGTTGTTCGTGTCTAGGATTAACAAATATGATAGTAAATCACTTAATTATTGTGGTTATATGGCTTAGGCTGTGTTCGGGAGGAGGTGTTGGGAACTTCTCTCCTTGGCACGGAAAACGAGATAGCCGATTAGCTCCTGATTAATTAAGTATTAGCTAAAAATTGAAAAATAGATTAATATGATATTTTAAAGCAACTTTCCTATAGATATTCTTTTGTTAAAAAACATATTGTTTAATAGTTCAAGAAGCGTGCATGTGTAAAACAAGAGAGTAAAAGATGAGAACTTGTAGTTCTGAAGACAGCCTTGGAGTTGGTAGAAACAGTTACATAAAAGTTTATTCAAATCAAAATTAAAATCTTTAGCATAATATGATTGAATCTTATCATGATCAAACGGTAATAATTATTTTCCAAAATAATGCTCAAGAGTGTTGTCACATGACCGATTGGTTTTATACACATGTCTTTTGCTTATGTGACATTAAAAGAAATGAGTTGCCTTTAGTAGCATCGTACCAATCCAAGTCAGGATGAACTCCGTACCACAAAGTGACAAAAATAGCAGCTCCATATAAAAAAAAAGGCAACAAATCGGTGGGTACTCTTTCGGACAGCCACCCATAAAAGATGATCTTATTCTTATTACTCCACTATCTCAATTAACGTGTGACCCATCAACCCGACCGCATCGCATAAACTCATATCAATATCCACTCCCTAGTTCTCGGCCTTATCAGATTAACTCCAAACATATCCATCGATCAATCCATCCTCCTCCAAGTTTAGCATAGTATTTACCACTGCCCCCACACCCCCTCCATCCATAGCATCAAAATCCAACCCTAGCCAGTCACACCCCTTCCAAAACAAGAAATAAACACACCCCAAACACGCAGTTGACAAAATCAACACTCCCTCCAACAAGAGATTCAATAATTTAACACTCATTTAAAATGATAATCGATTATTCAACATCCTAGCCCGCTTTCATTCACCTAAATGGTCCCACGTATCATCGTCACAAGCGCCAATTAAAGCAAAATTGACCACGAAAAAAATGTGTCAAATTTCTCATCTGTGTCACCCAAGGCCGTGTGAAAAATCTCGGATTGGGTTATTTAAGGGCTAAGTTCTCTATTTGATAGGCTAAGTTTCTAATTTAAAAAGGTTACATATATCCGGTTAGATATAAAGACCGGATAAAAATACCCTTCTCTAAAAAAAGCCTAGGTGAAAAATGGTGTGGGTTAAGCTGGACCTTCGCCAGTTTGGCACCATGGCTGTGGCTGGGCTGGGATTGGAATTTGGAAAGGCCATCAAGGCCTTCCTTACTTTAAAAAAAAAAACGTGTAGAGAGAGAAAATCAGACGGATGAGGGGGAGAGAGGGAGAGAGAGAGTAGCGGTTTGAGCACGCGGCGGCACGGAGACCCACGAGAGAGAGAGAGAGAGAAGGTGGCAACGGCCCTCTCGCCCGGAAACCAGCCCACCCACACCAACACACTCACACTGCCCTGCCCTATCGCAATTTCCATTTCCATCTCTCCTCCTCTCCTCCTCCACCTCGTCCTACAAATGCGGCGCAGGACGAGAGTCAGAGCGGAGTAGTAGCAGACGAACACGACGACATCGGAGCGCTCTTGTCTCCTCCTCGTTTCTTCTGCTCCCGAGTCAAGCAGATCCTCCAAGCCCAGCGAGGGGGCGGGCGCGCCGCCGCTGCCGTTGTTGTTGTCGGCCGCAGCGCAGACATGGACCCGTCCGGCGGCGGCGGCGGAGTCGGAGTCGGAGGCATCGGCGGCGGTGAACAAATGTGGGTGCGGGGTTTACGTCTTCGGGGGTTGCTTTGCGGGGCTGGTTTGGTTTGGTCGTCGAGACGGCGGCCATGGGGAGGGGGGGGGAACTGGAATCCGCGAGTGTTTATCGCCTCCTTTTGGGGGATGGAGAAGTCTTGTGGTTGTGGCGATTTGGTGTTTAGAGTTTTGGTAGATTTGGGGGGGGGGGGGGTGATCGCCTGATCGGGTCTGGGTGATTCGTGTATGTTAGTGTGTGTGTGTTTCTTTTTTTTAATTTTAATATCACTTGCTGAATATGTTATTCGTATGACGATTTAGTTGCTCTTGTTGGAAATGGCTTAAAAACCGTGGGTATTTAGGTTGATGCGGCTGGGAAATGCTAGGATACTAGGAGGAGGAGGACATGACTGTCCTTAGATTTGTGTGTTAGATTGGAAATGTTTCACTTCAATTTTTGGGCTCAAGGGGTTTGGGAATAAATGGACACATACTGTCTTTGCAATGCCGTGTCGGTGATAATCAATTCCGGTTTAGGAGTCTGCCGTAGCACGAAGTGATAACATTTATTATGATCTATGTAGAAACTATAAGGAAGAACTCATTATGATTCAAGCTGTATCCTGTTTCGACTGTCCGCGGAACTGATTACTGTCTAAAAATGGCACGCTATTTCGCCGTGTTACTTTGATTGCATGTCTGATCTTGTAATGCTTACTGCAGTCTTTGGGACTGGCAAGCGGCGGAGCAGTGCGAGAGCAATGCTGCAAATCATGGTACATCACTCAAAATCCATAAATCATAATAGCATCTTTACACAGATTCGGAGCATCTGTTTCGAGTTTCCACTTACTATTTGATTGTTTCTTTTTACATTAGATGTTTCTAGATTCATGTGGGACTGCCTCAATCAAGATGATGATGACCTACTGGGATTGCTGGGCAATCAAACTCCTCTAAGAGATTGTCGCGGCTTCTTTGATATTGATGGTAGGTAGTTTCTTGTTCTTACCACCATCAATTGTTATTCCTCTGGAATGTTTGCTTAAATGGAGATGTTACTCGAGTCAGATTTCACCTGCAAGGAGACGTTGGACCTAGAGGAATCTCGGGAATCAAAGCGCCGCCGCATATTGGAGTACCCTTCTGAGTCTAATCAATCAGAAGATGGAAATCGTGAAATAAGTTCTACCTTGGGCACATCTGAGGTAATTCACTAGCACCTAGATATCTTCCAAGTTAGTGCATTGTGCTCTTGTTTACACTTCTTACTTCTTTTCCTGATCCATGTCTTAGGTATCAGAAATTTCATTGCTTTGCACCGATGAACCGCAGAGCTTCAATTGGGATTCACAGAACAATTCAAATAATTTTGGTTTGTCTTTTGTTTTTCATATTATATTGTTTGACAACTTAAATTGCTATGCCTTTTTTGTTAGCTAACTGAAAATAGTGGCATCTGATACAATAGATTCTTTGTCAACTGGAGCATTCTACCAACCATCAAATAGTCATTCGAAAAATTGCTCTGATGAAAATCAAATGCATTTCAGGCATGACCAAATGTTAGCTACTCTCTGTTCCCACAGAAAACAGTATTTACTTTATCATTATATTTCAATGATGACATGTTAAGCTTGGATTCATTTTTAGGCATTCTAGCCAGGAGAGCGTTACATATACCAATGATCAAAGTGGTATTTCAGGTCAGTGCAAAGTGTACGTCTACAGCGTTGTTTAAGTCAAATTTTCATTTGTTTTTAAAACATGGCTTGTAATCTATGCATGAGCATCCCATCTCATCACTGTTTGTCCTTACGTCCCCATGCGAGATATCTGTAGAGAACATTTTTGTTTGCTGTTTTCCTTCGATGCAATGCCATGTTTTCAGTCACTGCAAAATTCTATACTGATTGACGGACATACAGTTTGAGTGCCTCGCTGAAACTAAGATTTTGTAGTTTTGGCAGGAAACTTACCAGTTCTTTCTATCTATAACAGGAACAACTGAGAATGATTCAGTGACAGAAAGTCTTCTAATGCAGGAGACTAGGAAGCTTTCTACACTTAAAGTATCTAAAGGTATTTTCAGTTTGACAGTATCTTATCATGTCATCAACATTTCTTACTTTGAGTTTTGTCTATGCTGATCATTTGTCTCTGCTGCTATACTAGGAACCTCACTGGTTAAGGCGAAGCAGAATTTAACTACAACTATAGCATACCCTTTTACCCTCATCAAACCATCCTGGGAGGAAGGAGATGTCATCACTCTAAAGGATATAAATCAGCGAATCCGTGCTCCTCCGAAGAAGGCTCCAGAAACCCTAGGGACTTCAGCCTTCTCTGGCAAGCCAGTCATTGGCAAGACAAGGATCAGAACTGACGGGGGCAGAGGCAGCATCACGATACTAAGAACAAAAGGTTGAGAGTCCAAACAACAAGTTTCTCAGCCATTACCTGGATTGCTTTCAGCAATTTGATCTCCACAGCTCTCCAGTTTTTTTTTTTTTGGCCATGGATTTGGTATTTAGGATGACTATCAATGGCTAACTCTTCAAAGATTTACCATTCATCCTGTGTACATTAGCGGCATGCGGCTAATGTTAAATATATGAGAGTTTTGTGTTCAGAAACCATGTCCCTCTACTCATCTAACTTATGTTGGATGTTGTTCAGGGTTTTCTCCCATTTTTCTGAATAGTTGTCCATTCTCAAATGGACGCGTGTAATCGGGAAACATTTGATTATTTTGTTGCTTACAATATATAGCACAGATACAGGTGAGTTTATATACGATTGCATCCAGTACTGCATTTTGTATACATCCTGGTAACAAGAAGAATATGAGATATCCGAATTCCTACTATTGTATCAGATTCCTCTCATTCCTTGACGCAGCGGTCAATCGGATGGAACATGAAACACATCTTAAATTTTGATCTCCTGTAGCGGCACTATGATCCAAGTGAAATTCTTGGCACAGAAGCTAGTAGTTGATGATTGTCATCATCTCTTACTCGGATAGAGAACCCAGTAGTTGATGATTGTCATCTCTTACTCGGATAGAGAACCAGGAGTTTTCGTGAAGGTGTCGACATTCTAGGATAGAGAGGGCAGAAGAACTCGAACATCGGCCTCTCCTCTATAAATTATTAAGTAAATACCGATCTTGAATTGAGTTCTGATGGATAGGTTGCAATGGCGAAATAACAATAGATAATACTTGCTATCTCTTGCAAGATCATGAGTCTATGATCATGTCATCGTTTATAAATGACGCTAGTTTTATCGAACACGCAAGAAAAAAAGGTTTAAACATAAGATCCCCACTACTGTGGTGCCAAAAAAAAAAGAAAGGAGAAAACCATAAGAATACTCAAGATTAAAGAGGACGCGACCACAGACACCAAAACAACTCTAGCCACCCGCTACCTCTAGCTAAGCCAAGCCCCTAACTCTTGCTATATACTAAAAAAAACCCTTTCTCTGAAATCCAACTACACGCAAGGAGAGGATTCGTTAAACACACAATTTTTTTGTGTATGCTTCCAAAGTAATGAGAAAATTCAGGCCATGCTTGAGCACCTTTGGAATAATAGAATTGACCTTTATCCACCATTTACAAAAATAACTATCCTTTGGTCGTGATGGAAGATCTGCACAACCATAACGGCTAAAGAGGAGATACCAAACTTGTCATGAGAAGACAACCTATCAAAATTTGCTGAATGGCCTTCTCCTCTTGATCACACATCGACCCTATTTGCGAGATTTGATAGTGTGGCATCCTTTTGGACCGAAAATTGATAAGTAGACTTATTAGGAGGTTGATTTCTAATTCAATATAAATTGAAGGATATATAATCGAACTTCACACATTTTATTTTTATAAGTCATTGTATTTTTTAAAACAATATTTCAGATTAATCATACAATTAGTGTTTTTAAAAAATAAATTCCAGTATAAATGAAACCATATAATATAATTAGTTTAGAAAAATCATAAATTCTAGTATAAATGAAATGATACAAGCAAAATATAATAATTAACAAATAACTATTTTTCTCACAATAACTAATTTCCTACACCATATACAACGTTTTCTCTTTTTTTATCATCACAAATTGTTTTCTTCCTTTTTTTTACACCAATTGTTTTTTTTCTAGTAGATGGCAATCCGGTGCTCCTTGTCTGAACTCTCTCAATCTCAACTTCTCAAGTGGCAACTCTTAACCCCCTTCAGGTGTCAAAAAAAAAAAAAAAACCTCTCAAGTCTCAACCCCTTCAATCCCAGCCGCCAATTTTAGGATCCAACGGCTCCTAGATAGCGTACGGCACCACCCGTAAACCGTGAACAAACCCAGCCCGGGACACAATCTGCGCCGCACATCAAAATCGGGCTCGAGTCGACACACGAGCGAATCTGACCTAAACCCTAGCTCGCCTCCTCCTCCTCCTCCTCGCCGCCGCCGCCGCCGCCGTCGCCGTCGAGCACCACCCGAGCAGCCATGGCGAATCGTAAGCGAGACGAAGAACCGCCCTACCCTCTCCCTCTCTTGTGTCCTGCTCCGCTTCCGACTCTGGGGGCGAATGGGTGGTTTGTTTAATTGGTTCGGTTTGGTTTGGTTTGCAGCGGCAGCAGCAGCAGGGCCGTCGGGGGGAGCGAGGTCGTTCCTGCAGGCCGTGTCGACCGTCACCGAGGAGGCGCCGTCGCCGCTCCGCGTCGTGCAGATGGAGGGCCTGGTGATTATTTTTCTTCTCCCCTCCCGTTTTGTCCCTTGGTAGAATTCGAAGCGCGTCCGCTATGCTAGCATGTTTGTTTTGGGCGACTTGCGCTTGGGATGAAGTAAGGATAAGCTCTTGATTTCGGGAGGATCTGTTTGTGTGATGAAACGCCCGCAGTGTGCGATTTCTCTTCACCCAAATGTGTTGTTTAGCTCTTTAGATCGAGGTAATTACATGCTTTGCCGTGTAATTAGATCGGGGTCCTTTGGCTCTGGAACTGGAGGGATTTGGTGAGGTTATTACGAATATAGTTGTCCCTTTTACAATGTTTTCTTCTACACATGATTTGAAAGTGATCGGAAGACTTCCTATCTTAATTAATTACATTGAATGACCTCCTTCGGTCATTCCGGCAAAAAAGAAAGTGATCATCTGCATTGTGATTGTTGAGAAGAAGTGTAGGAGAAACTAGGGAGAGCAGAGGGTGGGAGAAAATTCTTGCTTGATTCGCAGCGCAATAGGAGCCTCCAAGAGTGCTCTAGTGGAGCACAACCATATTGCACGACACACATGTTGCTTTTAGTCATGTACTTATGTTGACCATACTCTACTAGATCAAATTTGCTGCACCTTTACATTGGATGATTTTCTGAGGGCCAGCCGCATTTTTCTTTTGCCCTGTGTTTGAATAGGCATGTTTAGGTATAGTACTCTTATATTTCCACTCACAAATTTCTCTCTCTCTCTCTCTCAATCATGCAGGCTGTCCTGAAGATCATTAAGCACTGTGAGGAGTTTGCACCTGCTCTAGTTACAGGCCAACTGCTTGGTTTGGATGTTGGCAGTGTTCTGGAAGTAACGAACTGTTTTCCTTTCCCAGTGAGTATTTAACATCTATAACATATTTCTTTTAATATGACTTGAGTATTCTTGTGGTTGTTTAGTTTATAGATTAACAGCTACTTTAATATTTGACCACAGATGAGAGAAGATGATGAAGAGGCAGATGCAGATGGTGCAAATTATCAGCTTGAGATGATGAGGTGCTTGAGGGAGGTTAATGTTGACAATAACACTGTTGGATGGTATGATAAGACATTTCATTCAATACCTATTGCTGTTGTTCCATATGATAATTAACCTCTGCCGCGTGCTTCTGCGAGCAGCCTTTGAGTTTACACGTGTTACAACTCTGTTTTTGTAGTCTTTGATCCTCTGCCTTTAATTTATATGTGCATAAATAGTTCATTCGTATTTCTTTGTTCTGACCGTTTGTTCATTATTATATTTTTGGAATGTTGCTAACATCTTTGGCTGTAGTTAATAATGCAGGCAAACTAAATTGAGATATGCTCATTTGTCAACATAGTTTAGTGATGCTGTTGAGTATGTGACACTGAAAAGTGAGAACAAAATAAATGTGGAATTTTGCCTCTATGCATACATGTATAGAAATGTTGTTTGTGTCATGTATTCACCTTGTCTCTGTTTAAAATCAATGGTGCTCTGCTTGTTTGCTTGGACTGATTATTTTATCTAATCCTCTTTTGGAAACACTTCATGAGAGTGTTAAATTTCTTATTGCATGAAGCAACCAAACATCATCAAGCTTCTGGTAGCAACCTTTAGTTATCGTGTATGTGGTTAACATTGACCTTAAAGTGGCTGGTTTTGTGCTTACTCGATGTATTTTCCAGTCTTTTGCAGTTGCATTAACGACATATTAACCTGTGTTGCATTCTAGCTGTTTCATGCCTCGTTCAAAATATTTGCTATATTTTTAACTCCAATAATGACTAATTATCCAACGTATTTCATCTTGAGCTTAAGTGATGTGTCCTATTATTTGTATTATTTATGTTGTGGTTTTAAGTTTTAACCTCCATTCTTGTTGTACTTGTTTAACAGATTTTGCACATACAACTATCATAATCATCCAACAAAGCTGTAGCCTGTTCTGCTTCATGTTTTGACCCTTTTTTTTCCCATGCCTGTGTACAGGTATCAATCTTGCTTGCTTGGATCTTTTCAGACTGTGGAACTGATTGAAACGTTTATGAACTATCAGGTATGCAAAAATAAATAAGGTGCAATTGATCAATCTTTCCATTGCTGTTGGGTTATCCTCTCCCAGCTTTGTTGACCTACTGCAGTAATAGTTTTAGGCCAACTTGCGCATTAATTAGCTCAAAATAGCTAGCACAGCATGAACAAACAAATAGGACAGCAAACAGTGCACCTAATTAGCTTCTCTAATTAGCATGTAACCTATTTTGACACGAATCAAGGTTAAGTCTCTGTATGCATTACAATATCTAACCTGTTTGTACATCCAATGTAGTATACGCAGCAGTACATGCATATCATATATCAAATATCTATGAGTTGGTCATAAGAGTTGCGTAATTTTCTGCGATGTTGCATGCAGAACATAACATTTGCATGTTACAGGAGAATATCCGGAGATGTGTGTGCATCGTTTATGACCCATCTAGGTCAAATCAGGGGGTTCTAGCTCTCAAGGCCTTGAAACTCACAGATTCATTCATGGATCTTTACCGTAACAATGGTTTAACTGGAGAGAAGTACGGTTTCTTTTATGTAACCCAGTCCTTCTAATAGTTTTTAAAGATTGCATATGCAAATGACTACATGTTTTTACAGGTTAAGAGAGAAGAAATTGTCATGGGTTGATATTTTTGAGGAGATACCGGTATGTACTTAGTTATCTTTCATGTCAATATGTACAATTTTTGTGTCCTGATGTATCCTGTCTTATTGTCTCATAGATTAAAGTTTCCAACTCTGCACTTGTCAGTGCCTTCATGACGGAGCTGGAACCTGAATCACCTGTTTCACAGGTTTAGAGTTAACTTGTGAATTTTTTTTATGTGGCATCTGTTGTCATCATCCTTTAGCAGCTACCTAGGATTTATATTTATCTTCTTGTTACAGTGTGATTTTGACCGCCTTAAATTGTCAACTGCTCCATTCATGGAAAGGAACTTGGAATTTCTGATTGGCTGCATGGATGATCTTTCATCAGAGCAGAACAAGGTTATTTTTTGAAATGAACTTTTGCATAAACTATCTGATGTTACTGTGACAAATATATTTTATATGACTGGGTGTTGTCCTTCTGGTGTAGTTCCAATATTACTATCGCAATGTCTCAAGACAGCAGTCACAGCAGCAGGCATGGCTCCAAAAGAGAAGGTCAAAACAACTGCTTGTCCATTGTGATATTGATCAGTTCATTAGCTCTTGGAATGTGCCAACTTTTTAAACAAGCGCACTCTTCCTCTCGGAAATAAGCAAAGCAGGTGCTGCTATGAATATGGCAATTTACGTCTCATATTTTTTTTGCTACTGACATGCTGCAGGCAAGAGAATATGGCAAGAAAAGCTGCTGGAGAGGAGCCATTGCCAGAAGAAGACCCATCCAATCCCATTTTCAAGCCGATTCCTGAGCCGTCACGTTTGGAGGGTTATCTTGTAACCAATCAGATCTCCAGTTACTGCAACCATATTAATGGGTATGGATTCTCGCAAGTTTATGCCTATTCTCTAGGAGTTCCATAATGCCTGTGTCTTTTCGTCAGGAATGAACCATTAGATGTAGAAATTTTACTGTGATTATTATGGTCGTACAGATGCATGTCTCATGATTGAACTAGTAACATGCAAAAGTATTAAATATACAATGTTGTTAGCATGTAGTGGTGTAGTCTGATACACAAAATGTTCCTTTTTGAATGATCCATTTAATTATGGCAATGGTTACGGTGAAGTAAATATGGCAAAATTTCTCTTCTGGCTCTTGTTTCCGTCGTAAAGCTTCAGATGTTTTTTTTTTTCATTCCATGGCGCTTATTCACCAGCCATATTGATATTTGCGTTACTACTGCAGGGTTGCTGGTCAGAATTTCAACAGGCTCTACTTAATGAAGGCCTTGCAGGAGGACTAGATGGCTAGGTGATGAGTGGCAACTGTTATGATATTTGACTTGCTAGATGTCAATTTTGCCTTGTGCTTTATGCCTATTATACCTTTTGCCAAGAAAAGCCAGAGCCTATTGTACCAATCTTACGGATACAAAGTCCGCAGTATGATAAATTGATTTTATCGCTTGGTTGGGTCTCTTATGGTGTTTAAATCTTTCAGTTAACTCAAATTGCTATAACTACAATTAAATATTTTTTTATCAGACCTCATTTTCTTCAGATAATCTGTAGCTACATGTTTGAAGCAGACCATCGTATCCTGCTAGAGAGCTGAACGCATTTTGATTGTGCCAATGCCTTGTGAATTGTAGCTACAGATTATCTGAATAAAATGAGAGGTTTAGCTCTAATCACCTTATTTGGGCAATAGCAGTAGACAGTGGTCACTGCATCTCACTAGTGAAGGGTTTCCAGACCGTACCAGTTAACGGAGTACAGGCCAAGGGCCAACCACGGTTTGACGGATTGGTAGAGCAGAATGATGCAGTATTCAAGAGGCGATGCTGACAAGAATATATGGACGAAAGGTTATCACATGGTACAAGGGTTATGTTCGGCCTTTATGGGGTCATCGTGGGCCTAAAAAGTTACGAGCAACAAATGCCACGTATGCTAATGATATAGTTCTTGTGGCATAACAAATGCGGGAATGCTGATGGGCGATCTCGATCACTATGGGGATGGGGTAGCGATCGATCCCCTCCCCCCTCCCTCCTTCCGTCCCTCCACATGGTTTTCTTTTTTGGCACCGCATTACTTTCCTATTGTAGTAAATTTATACACCCCAAGTTTACACATCTAAAGTTTAGAGACCAAAAGTTTATAAGTCAAAAGTTTATATATCCGATTCAAATTTGAATTTGAATTCAAATATTTTTTTTTATATATAGTATTTTCATACATTTAAAGTTTATACACCTAAAGTTTATAGACCTAAAGTTTATAAGTCAAAAGTTTACATACCCGTTTCAAATTTGAATTTGAATTATATCTGATTCAAATTAGAATTTAAATTCAAATATTTTCTATCTATAGTATTTCTATACATCTAAAGTTTATACACCTAAAGTTTGTAGACACAAAGTTTATAAGTCAAAAGTTTACATACCCGATTCAAATTTAAATTTAAATTCAAATTTTTTATATATAGTATTTCTATACATAAATTTTTCTAACTTTTTGTTTTTTTAAAAAATTTTGTGTGGTGTACTGTAATAGGAAGAGAAGAAGGGGAGGAGGAAGGAGGGAGGAGTATAGGGGGAGGGGGGAGGGGGGCGAACTAATCGCCCAACGCGATCGCTGGCGATCGATCGCCCATTAGAAGGGCCCTAACAAATGTACTAGTAATAGTTGGTTCGGGAAGTTTATATGAGCAGTAGCTATTCTAAAATCTCCAGCTACGCCAAATTACCAAATAGTCTAGGCTCCATTTTCACGTTAAGAAACACGTGGTTTCTACTGAAATTCCTAATGGGTGATCGATCGCCCAACGCGATCACCCCGCGTGGTCACCCCTCAGGCCCTCATCCACATGGTTTTTTTCACCGCATTACTTTCCTATTTTAGTAAATTTATGTTTACACATCTAAAGTTTATACACCTAAATTTAGAGGCCCAAAGTTTATAAGTCAAAAGTTTATATATTTGATTCAAATTTGAATTTGAATTCAATTATTTTTATATATAGTATTTTTATACATCTAAAGTTTATACACCTAAAGTTTATAGACCCAAAGTTTATAAGTCAAAAGTTTATATACCCGATTCAAATTTGAATTTAAATTCAAATACTTTTTATATATAGTATTTCTATACATAAATTTTTATAACTTTGTTTTTTTTATTTTTTAAAAATTTTATGATGTAGTAGGAAGAGAAAAAGGGGAGGAGGAAGGGGGGAGAGGAGCATGTAGGGGGATGGGCCCATTAGCAGCCCTCGGCTTCTACTGTGCCCCCCCCCTCCCCCCAAATTTTTTTTCTTTAAAAAAAAGTAATGGGACTAAAGTACTCTATAGCTATTTTGGGGTCTTATTGTTTTCCCATTGATTTACAAGTGATACCAAAAATTGAATTTTAAAGCTTGATCTTGGAGTTGATTTTTGATTTTTTTTAATGTAGTTATTTATATTAGTTTTTAAGTCAGTAAAAACATGTGTAAAAGTTTTATCCACAAATTATTTTTAGCTATAGGCAAGGACGGATCTAGAAAAACATTATAGGGATGACTTATCTCCTTTCTCTTTCAACCCCCTTTCTCTTCTTCCTCTCTCTTTTTCTTCCTACTCTCTCCTTCTATCAATGGTGACCTAGACGGGTAGGAGGACTTGAGTGTCCCAGCACCCATGTTCAATCCGTCCTTGACCATAGATCTTGTTTGAGGAAGATTATAGCAGCTATAACTTCTAAAAGTTGCACCTCTCGAAATCCCAATTTCTTCAAATTCTCATAAGTTGACTACTAACAACTACTTATCAGAACCTTAATCTCTCTAAAAATAAGGATGCTAGTGGGACATAAGCCAACTATAAACTTATGTGAAAAAGACATACAATAATATGGTGAGAAAAATATCTATATTAAATTTATAGTGAGAGAAAAAGATGAAAGAACAAAATAAAGGCTTTACAATTAACTTATTATACATGTTAGTTTTAATATGGATTAATCAATGGTTAGCTCCATAGTCTCCGGGTACATGCAGCTTATTAACGCCGTGGACCAGGCAGAGGCAGCCGTGGCGTACCGTATGCAGTTGGGGTGCCTGCCCTTTAAATCGCCCCGGCCGGCGAGAAAAGACAATCAGAGTGAGACACAGCTGCGGTTGGTCTGGACCTCACTCACTGCACTAGTACATTGTTTCACGCCTCCTGACATTTAAAAACTTCTTATATCATTCGAAATACGAAGAGTTCAAAATCTTCAAGAAATTTTCACCTCAAATATGAACGAACGGTCGTTTTGGAAGCGAGATGTTATCCAGAGACGAAGCAGTACGTACGCTTGTGTAGCTGAGGACAAACAATTACGCATGCCGTTAGCCAGAGTCGATGGTTATAGTATAGTACTCCTCCGTCCCATAATATAAGAAATTTTATAGTTGGATACGGTTAATATGAAAATAGGTGAAAGTTAATGGTGCAGGATTGTGATTGGATTAGTAGTGAAGGTAGATGGAAAAAGTGAATGATGGAAGGTTGTGATTGGTTGGGAAGAAAATGTTGGTGGAGAAGTTGTTATATTTTAGGACAAATCCTGAGGGCTAAAAGTTATTATATTTTAGGATGGAAGGAGTATTTTTTTTTGTGATTTATTAACAGGATTTGCTCTTAATAATGTCTTGTCATCCGACAGTTTTTATCATTTCGTGATGTGAGATGGTTACGCTATGGATTACTCTCTCCGTTTTGAAGTATGTGTAGGCTTCAAATTCTCATGGTTTCATTCATTTCATTAACTCAAGAGACGATCAGATGTTTCCAAAGAGAATCTAAGCGATTTTAAAATTAAAAAATAACAACTAAAGCAATTAAAAAGAAATCTTCTGACTTAATCTTAGTATTTGTTAAAGAACTTAAAAATCGTTATAATACTTCCTCCATTTACAAACGATTATCATATAATTTTTGATGTTGTTCAGAAGTGATTAGTATATTTATACTCCATCTTAGTGCCTTTTCGTTTCTCTATGCGAAGTACTAAATGGATCGGTGCATGCATGAGCTTGGGCTATGCAAGACTCATCCACCAAACAATATTTCTCCTTCATCGACGCATCACGCATATACCGAGTTCTTTGGAGTGGAAACCGTTTGGGTGTGCTCCAACTACAGGAGAGATGAAACCAGGCTGTAGCCTGTGGCGGTCCTCCAAACATTTTTTTTTCCAGAAAGAAATTATAAGTATATTGAAGATTGAAAACGGAACTTTGAGATTAAAATCGCACTTCTATCACTGCACTATTAAGTGCATGCTTGCTGATTGCTGATCTGCCTCTGATCAGTGTCACTAAGGCTGTGTTTGGAATCTTGTGTTCCCAACACAAGTTGTGTGCATAGAAAACGAAACGGTTTATTAGCACATGATTAATTAAGTTTTTACTTTTTTTAAAAAAATAGATCAATATGATTTTTAAGCAACTTTCGTATAGAATTTTTTTTTTAAAAAAAACATAACAGTTCGAAAAACGTGTGCGTGCGAAAAACGATGCGCTCGAAAGAGGAAGTTGGGAAGAGTTCCGAACACAGCATAACTGCTGCTTGGCCCGGACACATGCATGGCCATGACCCACAATTGGAGACAAGACAAGCAAAAGATGGCAGGGACCTTGGTGCACACTGCAGGCACAGATTGTCACGAGGATCATCTCCTTCCAAACGCAGCGGCCAATCAGAAAACAATCACAAGATGGATGGGAGTTTACATCTACTAGTAGTACTATCGATCTTGGTCGGTTTTTACCAGTGATTTCCCGGAAAATGCACAGCTCGTTCCAGGTTCTACTCCTGCAACATTCACTCACACAGCAAGCTTTCATGGTAGTCCCTCCCGTCAAAAAAAAAGAAAAAGAAAAACTAACCTAGAACTAGAATGAAATATAACATGTCTAAATTTGTTGCACTAGATTAGACCATTCTCAACAAATAACTAGGATGGTGTTCATAGCATTAAATAAGCTACCATCTAGAATGAAAAATAATGTGGCAAATGAATAAATGAGGAAAGAGAAGGAAAACATGTCTTGCATGTGACATGGTTTCTACACAACATCCAAAACATTATGTGAGATAAGTAGCATTAAATTTAAGTATGTAATAGTGGTGTTTGCATTGGAAGAGTAGTGTATAGTACTCCCTCCGTTCCAAATTGATATACATATTTCATAGGTACACCAAGACCAAGAAAAGCTAATAACTCTCTCATACTATATTTACTCTAGCAACAAACCCAATGCATGCACCATCCCCACTATTTCCTAGCTAATAGCAAATCAAGATATTGCATGTGGGCTATAAATACTTGTGTGCATGGATGCATACATCAATGTTCATTTACTCCAATGCACAAATAACGAATAGACTTAATAAATGAATACAAATATGTAGATCATTTAGGAATAACCTAAAAAAAACTATATGTAGATTAATTTGTAATGGAGGGAGTATTACTTATGATGTGGAATTTATGGAAATTATATCTAGTGTCTTGGGTTGGGAATGACCTTATATCTCATTCTAATTTTAGGGGGTTTTTTTTTACGAATGGAGTACGTTTTTTTGACTTTTTCTCAGTGCTCATTGGGATTTTAACCATTGGGAAAGTTTGCGGTGAACGCACGCTCGTGTAATGTAGTATTGGGATTTGAACGCACGCAAACGTATTTTCTCGTGCTTGAATTCGAGATGTATAACCCTGATATATATAATTCACAATCTTTTTTGTGTAATGAATTGCTTGCGTGCGTGCGGTATGAGTACGTTGTGCATCCAAAAAGAGGCACGCGAGAGTTCCAACAATTTAGGTGGGGCTCTGGTTACGTCGAGTGGATGGATATGGTTAGAACCTTTTTTTTAAAAAAAGAAAACTAATGGTTAGGACCATTTGAAATGCCTGAATTTACAAATTGTACAAGGATATTGAACTCCAAAAAAAAAAAAGCGGTGCATAAATTCGAACATTCCAAACGGCTCCATAGTCTATCGTAACCAGGGTTTCACATTTTCAACTTACCAGTATACAGTGGCGGATCTAGAAATTTTCGTGAGCCTAAGCAAGTTTAACAATAAATATAGTATACGAATTTGTAGATCATTTTAGAGTGAACATTTGCTTTGTTATTTTACACTAAACCGTTATAAGTATGTACACTATATGTACTGCTGTTGTTTCAATTTATACAGTGATTAAGAGATATTATTAGCAAGGTACTCACTCCATTCCAAAATATAAGGTATAACCACCTTTAACCCAAAGATCAAGAAATAATTATTATCATCTCCTAGTTTGGATCATCCTAATAAATATAATGCATGCATCCAATAGATTTAGAGAACATGAGAGTGGAGGATTTAAAAAAGTAATAATTTAATAGAGAAAAGGTTATAGTTAATTGCTTGCATGCATACATGCCTTATATTATGAAACATCTTAAGAAAAAAAAGTGGTTGTACCTTATATTATATTATGGAATGGAGGGAGTAATTAGATTTAATCTAATGGGACATGGTTGCATGTAGCCGGCGGAGCCCGGGCAACTGCCTAGGGTAGTAGGGTCCCCAGGCCCTGGCTCCGCCGCTGCCAGTATGAAGTGCCAGTGGGCAAAAAAAGAAACAAATTCGTTCAATTTCCAAGCTTTGTCTGAAAATTCTTGTTCGAAATTTTCTCCCACCATACACAATGCCAAGTTCTGTTTTTTTTTAATATTTTAAGGTGTAATACTTTAGTCATGTTTGAAGCATAAATATGTATTCTCTACATATGTAAGATCGACGTATCAGTCAGTGCTACTGCACCAGCGATAATTCAGATGATCCTCCATTGACCATTGACCATTGCCCATTGCCCAAGCACATATATATGCCTCTCCAAGTCCAATTGTGCATACGTGTAGCTTCAAGTTCACTGCACATCACCTTCTGTCCATCCACAATACTGAAGTTAGATGCATTTAACTTTTTACCACTTTTAAGATATGACAATTAAGAATTTGTAACTCACAGTCTTTAACATGTGGACTCAGGATTCTTATGTGGCAATTAAGAATTTGTAACTCATAGTCTTTAATATGTGGACTCATGATTCTTACGTGTCTGTGACAAATGAGTCCAGTAAAAGCGATAAATAGTTATAAATATCTCACCAAGTCACCCTCAAAGTCACAAGACTCTTTATCTTCCCTTGTGAGCAGTGAGTGAGTGAATGAGTAAACTTCCATGCAAATGCAAACACTTGCAAAACAACACACCCAAACCTAGATTCCCCACACTCCCATGAGTGTCCATGGCACAAAAACAATGCTCCATCGCCACCACCCACCTCTCCCCTGCACTCACCAATGGCGGACAAGAACGGCCTCCTCCTCCTTTCCACCATTGCTGCCGTCACTCTCTCCTCCCTCTCGCTCGCGGCGGTAGCCTCGCCGGCGACCCGTAGGAGCCAAGAATCGCGGGAGGCGGTGCGGGCCGGGTACTACCTCGCCGCCGACGCCCACCTCCGGCCGCTCGCCGCGCTCGACGCGTCGCTGTACACGCACCTCTACTACTACGCCGTGGCGGTCCACCCCGCGCGCCGCACGCTGCTGCTGCCGCCGGACCCGGCGGCGGCGAGCCTACTGGGGGATTTCTCCAGGGCGGTCAAGGCCAAGAACGCCGCCGTCAAGACCGTCCTCTCCATCGGCCGCGGCGGCGGCGCGGGTGGTGCGGCTGCGGTGGCGGGGTCGGGGTCGGACCCCGCGTTCGCCGCCATGGCCGCCGACCCGGCGTCGCGCGCGGCGTTCATCGGGGCGGCGGTCAAGGTCGCGAGGGAGAATGGGTTCGATGGGCTCGACGTGGCGTGGCGGTTCCCGGCGTCGGCGGTGGAGATGGCGGAGTTCGGGTTCCTCGTCGCCGAGTGGCGCGCCGCGGTGCCCCGCGGGTTCCTGCTCACGGCCACGGTGTACTTTTCCAACCACGTGTTCGACGCGCCGTTCGCCGGCGTGGACTACCCGTCGGAGACCGTCGCGAGGAGCCTCGACTGGGTGAACGTGATGGCGTTCGGGCTCCGCCCGCCCGGCGCCGCCAACGCCAACGCCACGGCGTTCGACGCGCCGCTCTACGACAGGGCGTCGCACTACTCGGCGAGCTACGGCGTCGTGTCGTGGCTCGACGCGGGCGTCCCGGCGAGCAAGGTGGTGATGGGGATCCCGCTCTACGGCCGCTCCTGGTTCCTCCGCAACAAGGCGAACAGCGGCGTCGGCGCGCCGGTGGTCGCCGCGGGGCCGAAGCAGCGGGGCAGCAACGCCACGGGCGCCATGTCCTACGCCGAGGTCCAGTGGCTCGCCGCGACGGCGACGCGCGGCTCCCGCGCGGTGATCACCGCCTACGACAACGCCTCCGTCGCGTCGTACGTGTCCGTCGGCGACGTCTGGGTCGCGTTCGACGGCGTGGCCGTCGTCGCCGAGAAGCTCGCCTTCGCCGCGCGGTGCGGCCTCCTCGGCTACTTCCTCTGGCCGGTCAACTACGACGATGCCAACCTCACCGTGTCGCGGCGAGGTCAGCCATGCTCCAAGCTTTTTCACTGACACTGTTCCATTGCCCGCTGCCGTTGCTGACACTGACCTCCTCATCTTCTTGCAGCATCACAAGTCTGGACACAGACCAAAATCTCGCCGGAGTTCAAGAACGTCACCGGTGGCGCCCGGCAGACGCAGGCGCCGGTGCAGCGGCCGCCGGCGCTCCAGTCGCCTGCGCCGACCACCGCGCCGATGTCGTCGTCGTCGACGACGTCGTCGTTCTCACGGTTATCTTGGAGAATGCTGGATGTGCGTCTCCATCTGGGTGCTCTTCTTCTTCTCCTCCTTCTCGTGTGCTACCAAATCTAGAAGAAATGTTAGAAAATTCTTTAGTTTTTATGAAGGTGTTGTGCTCAAATTCAGATTAGTTATTCGTTGCATTTGTAATTTCGTTTCAAATTGTATCATAGCAGCAGGTTCCAATAGGAATTCACATTAACAATGGAGTAAAAACAGTGTGTTTTTGTGACTGACCGTACAAGTTTTGAGTTCTTAACCTTGGTTTGACATTTTGTAGTGAGTGGCCAAAACATGAGTTTCGGTTTGAAGACACATATATTAATTTGGATTAAGAAGTTTTTAGAACATACTAAATCCGTTACAAAAATTACCTCATTTTCAGTTTACCTCCCACATATCAATATAAAATAAAAAAAGACTAGAATGCGCTTCATTTTCTCCAATTCCTGTGCAATTGTTCTCCACCTTCTCAAGCTCAAATGCAATTGTGCCCCCATTTCCTCAAATTCTAATACATTTATCTCTTAGTTTCTCAAACTCTAATACATCGATTGTTTCAAAGTGAAGTCTTTATTATGGGACAGATGAAAGGGGCAAAAAGAAGAAGTCTTCGTGGAAAGAGGGAGTAAACATGGGTGAGGGAGATTAATTACACTCTCATGAAGGGCAGAAAACTAGTATAAACACCTCATGTTCATATGTTGGCCAATTGACCTGCAAATTCTGCTGAAGCTGGTATAAAAGAGGTCTGATTCTTTAATGTCCAGGGTTGTACTGGAAATCTCTGTTCTGTAAAGAACCAACAGCATTAGCATTTGTCCGAGAGAAAGGTGATGTCGTTGAGGAGGATGGTACAGATTCTAGGTAGGGTTGTTCCAGATGGTCCTCTGCTAATTACTAAGTTAGCAAAGATTTCATTAACAGATTGCATGTCATTGAGAGCATCAATGATTCAATTCTAAGCTGAATTTCAGAGACAAACCAAACCAACCAGCTACATTGACAGCCAAAGAACAGTTGATTAGTTGAATCCCATTCTCTCTTGGAGACCAAAATGAGTACAGTTAGGACTTCCTCAATTCTGTCATGAAGTTTTCAAGCAGTAGGAAGAGATTTTCTAGTGAGTCTCCAAATGAAAGTTTTAACTTTGGGACGAATATATTTATTTTTACAAGTGGCTATCAGAATATTCGTAATTAGTGAGAGAACTTACATTGCCTTGGCTAGTTATTGAATCCTGTAGCCGCATTTTGCTGTGCATAATCGTGAAGGTGTTTGCTTCCAGCATAATCTAGTGGTGTTTGAAACTTAGGTAGATGGGGATGAAGATGAAAATTAAATGTTTTATGCAAAACAAGGTGGTATTAACGTATGATTAATTGAGTTTTAATTACTACAAACTTAAAAAATATATTTATCTGATATTTTAGAGTGACTTCCATATAGAAGGTTTTTACATGAAACGTATCGTTTAGCAGTTTGAAAAGCATGTCACGAATATCCAAATTTTCATCCAACTTTTGTTGGAGTGTCCCAACGGATGATTTGTACCTCCAAGAATGCATTAGTAGCTTGGGAATTAAAAAAAAACAGTGATATTTTGTGACTATTCCATTGCCTAAGGTTATTCCGAAGGTCAGAAACTTGTGTTGGGCTGGTGATGAGTGTAAGTTAGGTGATCACGAATGTTTTTAGTACATGGTTATTGAGTAGACAACTATATATACTTCAAACTTTTTGTAAATAGAGTGAGCAATTCATTTGTAAAAATTCAAAACTACCGTAAAATAAACAGCCAGCATAACAATGCTTTCAACGGAAGTCAATGTTAAGCTTTACAATAAAAAGATTATTTTGGTGGATTAATGGTCATAGTTAACCTTTGTTGTAATCTCAAGATGACGTGTATTGCCTTATTAGAGCCCATACAAGCTCAGTTGTTATACTTGCCCTTAGGACAGTCCTAACCCTCCACCTAAGATGGTGTCTATGGCATCAACTGTATTACCATGTAGGACTTTTAGCTTATGTGGCACTATATTAATTAAGAGAGAGAGAGAGTGAAGAGATGAAGAAACTGGGTCTCATGCAAGACACAACTTCAACACGAGAACCTATGCACTAGACACTATCAAGTTTTGCATTGGGAGAGAATAGTGTTTTCATAATAGATGAAGAATAAATATGATTGGTAGAGAAGAGAGATGATGTATTTATTAATAGCCCACTTTAAAAAAACATAGGTTATAGAGTGTAGTTTCTATTGTGATATCTTATTGACATGGCACCATAGACACTACTTATGAACACTATGTGTTAGGATTGCCCTTAGTATATGTATTGTTGGCTAAGATAAAAGATAAAGCCCAAGCTTAATGGCTAGCGGTGTGAAATATTTAACGACATTAATATTATAAGAATAGTCTATTATCTCTTGTTCTCCCCCCCCCTCCCTAACAGACTAAAACTATTGTTTTCTCATGTTTTACTAGTATAATTCAATGTATTGTTATCCTTCATTCTGATTTTCTTTTTAAAATAACTTATGCCGATTTTGTTTGACACTCCAATGTGGACCACCTATGTACAATATCTCAGATATATCTATTAAACTATATAGAAGCTATGTAGTACACAATTAGTATCTATTAGTGGGGACATTTGAGCATTATCGTATTACTATAAACCAAGGTTCCAAATTCGTTGGGCATCAGCTATTAGCGTCTACCAACAAGCTATATAATCGTCCAATCAACGCATAACTAGAAGCGCGGGATCGTTTGCATGAATTAAACAGCACAAAGAAAAAACACACAAAATGACATCATTACGCACGATATCTGCGTGAGAACACTCAACATCATTCTACTAGTCAATTCGCTCTTGCAATATGGACTCTTCATTTTTCCAGAAAATCCAAAAAAAATAACATTGACATGCGTCCAATTAAAAAAATATTATCAACGAGTGTGAGTTTCATAAGAATACAATCGTACACGCGATTTTGTCCCAAAAAAAAAACCATTCTCATTGTTAGTGTTCCATCCATCCCATATCATTAAATGTATTGTTCATCATATAGTACTTAACGGAGGGCTACTAACGAAACCCTAACAATGATGATATTTCTAAGATAAAATAGCTTGCACGATGATATTTTACGGAACTCTCACTCGTCAATGATATTTTTTGAAATTTGACACTTGTTAATGATATTTCTTGGATTTTCTCTCATTATTGCCATGTTGATACATGTATGCCCAATAAAAACACTTTGGAGTTGTTCCCTAACACTTTTGAATCTCCAAGTTAGTTTATTTTCCAAGCCATATTATCATTATTAAGGAGTTCCTTCTCTCATTGTCTCGTACATGTTCTTCCATGGCAATATATAATGGCGACCAAAATTTCATTGCGTCTGGCATGCAAGGGCTGTTTGAAAAACATGTCTCATTATGGCCATGTTTAGTTCGCGAAAAGAAAATTTTTGAGTGCCACATAGGACGTTTGACCGGATGTCGGAAGGGGTTTTCGGACACGAATGAAAAAACTAATTTCATAACTCGCCTGGAAACCGCGAGACGAATTTATTAAGCCTAATTAACCCGTCATGAGCACATGTAAGTTACCGTAGCACTTATGGCTAATCATGAACTAATTAGACTCAAAAGATTCGTCTCGCGATTTTCATTCAAACTGTGCAATTAGTTTTTCTTTTTATCTATATTTAATGCTCCATGCATATGTCCAAAGATTCGATGTGATGTTTTTGGAAAAAAAAATTTTGAGAACTAAACAAGGCCTACGTCTGGCAGGCAAGGGCTGTTTGAAAAAACATGTTAACAGAAAAATGAGGAGTGGCTAAACTCAATTAGCTCTTTAGAAAAATGCCTTAAATATGACCTACTAAGGCCCTATGGATGAAGATTAAGGAAGGGCATGCAAAACAAAAAAAAAATCGTTAGTGCATGGTTAATTGGCTTTTAATTATAGTAAAGCTGAAAATAGATTTATTTGATATTTTTGAGCAACTGCTATAAAGAAATTTTTCGCAAGAAGCATATATTTCATCAGACAATCCTTTATATATATACATTTCTAGAAGTTGTCTTTTTTTACGGAGGATATAGGTGGTAATAGAAAACAATGTAAAATCCTTTTTTTAAAAAAAGAGTTTGTAATAATTAAAACTTAACTAAATAATACGCTATTAGATTTCTCGTTTTAGGTGCGTCGTCTTAATCTTCATCTTCTTCGATGAGTTTCAAAACAGCACCGTAATAATACCAAGTTCGTCCTTAAAACTGACGAAAAAAAGAAGAGAAAACCCATTGTGCTGGATGGATGCCCTGGATGAGACGAAGAGAAAAGGAGTCAGATCCAATCGAAATCAAAAGCAAGCAGAATACAGATACATCTGTATCATCAGCCTTGTTCACGTCAAATCAGGGTGGCCAGCTGCCGCCACCCGCCAAAACGGGCTGAGAAAATCAGGAGAAATCAGGGGGCATTTCGCTTGCAGATCTCGACTGTGTTATTTCCCGCGAATTCCCAACTCATAATATCCTTGTTCTTCACGTGCACAATTTTTAAACAGTTAAACGATACATACTTTATAAAAAGTTTATATAAAAGTTGCTATAGGAAAGCATATTAATCATTTTTTAAAGTTTTCATAGCTAATATTTTATTAATTATGTGTTAATCTGTCACTTCATTTTACTCCCTCTGTAAAAAAAGACAAACCCTGAGTTTTCGTATCCAACATTTAACTATCCGTCTTATATGAAATTTTTTATAATTAGTATTTTTATTGTCGTTAGATGATAAAATATGATTAATAACTTATCTTTTTAATTTTTTTATAATATTTTAAAATAAGACGGACGATCCAAATCCAATGTTAGATGTGGAAACCTAGGTTTTTTTTTTAAGGAGGGATGGAGTAGGTGTGAAGGGGCTCCAATAGAGTATTCTTCCCGTCGTCCTCTCCTCTCCTCTCCTCGTGCGCTCCGCCCCCCAACGACACCGACGGGTTTATCTACCCTTCCTCGCCCTCTCGTCGCTGAGCTACCCAGGAAGAAAAAAAAAAAAACTTCCCTCCGCCGCCGCCGCCTCCGCCGACTCCGACGCCGCCGCGGCTACAAGTACCAACCCCCCGCGCGCCCGCCACGCCGCTCCCTGTGGCCCACCGCCTCCTCGCCTCCGCCTCCTCCGCCGCGTCTTCTCTACGCGCACTCATGGCGACCTCCGCGACCGCAGGGGCAGCAGCAGCAGTGGCCTCCCCGGCGGTGGCCCCGCGCGGCGCCGCCGTCGCGGCGGTGGCGCGGCGAGGGTTCGTCTCGTTCGGCGCGGCGGCGGCCGCGCGCTCGCGCGCGGTGCGGTCCGGCGGCTTCTCCGGTAAGGCCGCACTTCCCTTTTTTTTCCCCCACCCCTCTCTTTGTCTCGCTCCAGCGGCGGGTGGACTTAGTCGTTGTTGTGCTGGGTTAGCTCGGGCATGGAGATCTGGGAACGCCGTGGCGAACGCTTCGCTGCTCGTGCTAGCCTAGGATCCGCACTTGCTGGGTGAAACGTGTGGGTTTTGGGGATATGCTCCGCCTGGTATAATATTATTTTTCAGTTATATTTTTAAAATTTCATGCTGGTATTTTACAAGTTGACATCAAATGGAGAGCTCTCTTAAATTTGGTGTAAAATGTAGGAGTACCCCTTATATTTATGGATCAACTTATGTTTGATGAGCCTATGTTTCTGTTAGTTCAAAATCATGTATTTTTTTAGCATTACCATATCCTATTTGGCAATGAATTTCACTTTAGACAATCCAATCTTAAGAACATACTCTAGTATATGAAATTCATTGCCAAATAGGATATGGTAATGCTAAAAAAAAATACAAGAGTATGTTTTAGACCAGATTTTATTCTTTTGTCTATGTGCTTGGGATCTTAATTCGATGATAAACTACTTTGTAGTCCACTGGGAAGTAGTTCCTTACATAGCTGAAGTGGCTTGCGGTCTGGTTTTGTTAGGGAAGTCAGCATCACTTTGTTTTTTCCCCAATATCACACGGTTTGCCTAATCCTGTTATCAGCAAACTGAAATATCTAATACACTAATTGGTGCATTAAGAACACAATGTTTTATTTGGGGTTCATAAAATATTATTCTTTTGTATCTTTGCTTGCACCAGCAACCCAACAAGCAGCAATCTATTCTAGCATTATTCACGTGCCATGGAATGGAATTGATGATGACCATAGGTGTCAGTTCTTTGTTATATGTATTGTGTCTTAGTGGAAAATTATGCAACAAATCAACAAAAGCTTAATCTTTTGTCAGAAGCTGTATGATGATTCCAAATGCTTCAGCATAAGAATGTAAATGTTGAACTGTACTTGTAAAGATTTTTTTCTGACAAAATCTACAGATCCCACAGTATTTGTCAAATGTCATTTGACAGTGGAAGTTGAGCTATTAACAATATTTGGTCCTAATTATCTACAGTGCAATAGACATCCAAATGTATTAAAAAGTGGAAACAGAACAGCGGAGTTATTTTTCTATTTTTGATAGCTTGGAATCATGCCCTTTTGGAGGTACTCTGAAACTACTGTATCATCAACATATATATGGCATCATCAAATTCAGGACCAGTAACATCTGTAATAGAGCACATAGGAAAAGTAGCTGTGCTTCACTACACTTCAATGATATGATATGCTTAGCCTGCAGATGCCACTTTGTAATCATCATTGATAAAGTTGAACATTCGATGTGAACTAAGTCTGATTGAAACAGACATTTGCATGGTATTTGTCAAGATGGAGTTTACTGTTTATTGCCTTGTTTTGGAAATAACAGATGTTCCTATGTATTTTTTTTTTTAAAAAAATCTATATAGACTTGTGTCTTTGTTCTGTGTCCAGGGTCATTTTTTTTAATTTAAAATTTTCACATCTTTTCATATGCTAAATGTATTCTTTTCAAGAGCTTTCTTCAGGAAAGCTGTGTTTTGAATTTATCCTCCTTTTCAAACTCATTCAAACAACCTACACTCTTGGTATCCAATGCTAAGCGATGCTATCTGCAGGCGTGCAGACCCATGTTGCAGCTGTTGAGCAAGCACTTGTGCAAGATGCTACAAAGTTGGAAGCTCCAGTTGTTATTGTGACCGGTGCCTCCAGGGGGATTGGAAAGGCGACTGCATTGGCTCTTGGAAAAGCTGGGTGCAAGGTGAGCGTCACAACTAAAGTCTGAACAGCTTGTTCAACAGCTGATATGATTTGTTTGTGTACTTGTGTTGTGCGGTACTGCTCGTGTTGGAATTCTGGTTCTAGTTCTAGTATGTGTTGCTTTCCAATTTGTTGTCTTTGATATCTTATAGAGGGATAGACATGTTGTGATGTAATTTTACACTTTTGCCTACCCGCTTGGCTTCTCAACAATGCAAAAGACCATTTCTCTTTTTCCTTATATTTTGTGTAATGATAAGATTAACCTCGGAGACTTGCCACTGCCTTTCAGGTCCTGGTGAACTATGCCCGATCCTCAAAAGAGGCTGAAGAAGTCTCCAAAGAGGTGAGCTTGTCGATTCCCAAATTTAGTATTTGTAGATAGACTTTGTTTGGTATTACTTGGTTACCTGTCACTTAATGTCAAATCTTAACATAAGGATAACCCTAAGGTGATTCTAAATCGTAACCATTGTGTGTGTGTGTGGACATTTTCACTATCTAATGCTATTTGTTAGTCATTTTAGTTTTACTACAGGCAATCAGTTTATGCTTTGGATAACTTTTTTTTCCTTAATTCTCATCATTGTTGGATTTCCTTAATTCTATTTTTCATTTTCCTGTCTTTTAGCCTCATACAGGAATACATTAAAGTATTATCATTTACAAATCTTGCTGAATAATCTTGACGTTTATGATAACGCAACTCCAAAACAATTGCACATTTCGGAAGTCAACCCAGAGCAATTTAAAATCTAATTGCATTCCTATCTTCATCTGTTTCATTGGCACATTGTAACTTATTTTCAAAACTAGTAGATAGTAATAATAATGATAATAATTAGCAAGAAACAGTGAGATGAATCTCTACTGTGGTTGATTCAACCATATTTAACTACTTTTACTTATAAATGTAGTTATTTTAGATCAATTTGAAAGTTCTCCATACCGCCGTGGTCAAAAAGGGCAGTTCAAGCGAAATTTGGAGAGAAATCTACCTACAAATATACAAATCATACTATAGAAAACTACTTTTGGTTTCCCACACTATCCTTAGTTCCATCAGATAATTATAATGTTATTTTTCCAGATCGAAGCATGTGGTGGTCAGGCTATTACCTTCGGGGGAGATGTTTCAAAAGAAGCCGATGTGGATTCTATGATGAAAGCAGTAAGTGCAGTTTCTTTATGTAATACAAATGCACTTTTAAATATACTTTTATATCAATTCTTCACTCTATGACTCGTTTATGATTACTTAATCTACCAGGCTCTTGATAAATGGGGAACAATTGATGTGCTGGTAAACAATGCAGGTTGGGCCCCATTGTAGTTTCATTTCTTTACATTTTTTTTAGCTTCCTATCATGTTAATCAATTTGTCTGTAAATTAAAAGAACATCTTGTTATCAGGAATTACCCGAGACACATTATTAATGAGGATGAAGAAATCACAATGGCAAGACGTAATTGACCTGAATCTTACTGGTGTTTTCCTCTGTACACAAGTAAGTTTGTATTGTACTGTTTTTGGTTACTTGAAGTCTTGAAGAACATTATTCATCTTACCTGTATACATTCTTGCAGGCTGCTACAAAAATAATGATGAAGAAGAAAAAGGTAGTGTTTGGTTTGCATAGAATGCTTTTCTATTACTATACTGGGTGCTAACTGCTGCGTCTTCGTATTCATGGATTAACAATGGTCCCTTTTGGCGAGTCTGATAATACACATGAAATCTTGAAAAATATCTTTATCATATCTTGAAAAATATCTTAATATTGCTTACAAGTTTAGTCAGGTTTCATAATAATAACTAATTTTATTCATTTTGTGGTCTGAATTTAAGAAGTTTTGTTAAAAAGAGCTTCTATTCATATCCATGTCACCATGAGTACTGATTTGCTTGTTTTTTGTGTTGAAATGCAGGGAAAAATCATCAACATAGCATCAGTTGTTGGTCTTGTTGGTAATATTGGCCAAGCTAATTACAGTGCTGCCAAGGCTGGGGTTATTGGTTTGACGAAAACAGTAGCTAGGGAATATGCAAGCAGAAATATCAATGTATGGCTTCATCTCTCCATTGTTAGCTCTCGTATAACTTTAGGGTAGCCCGACTTCTCAAACAACTCTGAATACTCATTCAGGTGAATGCAATTGCACCTGGTTTCATTGCATCTGACATGACTGCTGAACTTGGAGAGGATCTTGAGAAGAAAATCTTGTCAACCATCCCATTAGGTACGTGTGTTAAGCTGTACTCCTTGACTAAGTGGCATTGTTATCTTCTTTATATCATGCACGATTTCTATTTGCGCGAAACCCCCCTCTTTTGCTAAAAACATCAAAACAGCCTATGTGCTAATCTGAGTGAGATAACACTACATCCCTGCATAAGTGAGATAACGCCACATCCCCTGGGCAGTTCAATAATTTCAGTCAGTACCAATGGTTGATATGACTTGCAGGGAGATATGGCAAACCAGAGGAGGTTGCTGGCTTGGTTGAGTTTTTGGCTCTCAATCCTGCGGCCAACTACATCACGGGACAGGTGCGCTTGAATCCTAATTCACACCACATCCCTGCGTTCATTCATCATCGAACTAACCACTTGCTATTTGGCCATTTTACGCAGGTTCTTACCATCGATGGAGGGATGGTGATGTAGGTCGTAACGCTTGACAGAGAAAGGATTGTTTTACATAATGTTTGCAAATGATTTTGGACTACAGAGTTAGGTCTTTCGTCCCTTGATTTGTAAACACCAGTGAATAAAATTAGGTGTTGGAAGTTCAGATACGTGTTTGAAGGATGTTCTGATGTGCCAATTTCTGTAGCGAAATCAGTAAGATTTCTTCCTAGCGCGCAATTTAGAGAGAAGGAAACCGCTGCTACTTGGTACCAATGAGAGTTTTGCCCCCCTTGACTTATTTTAAAGAAGATTTGTGGTGCGCCTTTGTATTTTTATCTCAAAATCCCTTGCACATCCATGAGTTTTGTCGCTTCCTTCGTCATCCAAACTTTTCGTCCGTCCTTTATCTACGCCTGTTACGAGTCTATCTGCTGAGAACGTAAGAGTCCGCGTTAGATTTGGTGTGTCAAATACGTATTGGATTGCTAGTTTCTACGTACGATTTGCTAAACAAATCTTCTCTTTTGAGTTGAGTTTATCAATCTACAGTTTTTCTCATCAGCATTTCTCGATGCTAAATCATATCTCATGCCAGTACTTGATCCCAAGAGAAAAATCATCTCATTGCAGAACTTGATCCCATGAAAAAAAAAGAAACTACTTCCTCTGTCTACAAAATATAAGGGATTTTGCACGGATATGTCATATCCTACTCTCTGTCCAGATTCGTTGTATTAGGATGTGTCACATCCAACCAAAAACCTTATATTTGTGGACATATAAAGTACTAATGTATGGTTACTTTTTTTCCCGGTGTATTACAATGTCTAATCAATTATAGAGGAGATGAATGCATGAAGGAAGTAGTAGGGGTGAAAACGGTACGGAAACGGACGGAAACCATCTTTATCGTTTTCATTTTCATATTTTTTTCGAGATCGGAATCGGAAACCCTGGATACGAAAACGGAATCGAATATTATCAAAACCGAAAACGGAGTGAAAACGAACCGGCGCAAATACGATAACGAAAATTTATCGGAATAAAAAACCCCTCAAACTGATAAATCCAATTCTCAAGTCTCAACGGTCAACAATTCATTGTAAAACACAATCATATAAGTCCAATTATTAAGCATCAACAGCACATCACAAAACACAATCTATGAAATAAATTATCTATGTTTAATAGAGTAATGTTGTTGATAAATTCCAATGCATGGAAAAATATTCTGATGTGATTTTAGATTTTCATAACAAATAATTTTTAAAAAATAACAACTAAACACCATGGTATTCACTATTCAGTGCTTAAAAATGAATCCAGGGTATTTCAGTCATAAAATTTCTGGAAATTCCGAGAAAATTTCCGGAAAGTTTCCGACCGATTCCGAGTTCCGACGGAAACTGCCCTTATCATTTTCGATCACGTTAACGAGAAAATAATTCCGAATTCGTTTCCGTTTCCCAAAAATTCTGACCGACAGATTACGTTTTCAAAAATAGATTCGGAATCCTGAAAGTTTCCGTACCGTTTTCACCCCAGGAAGCAGTAGGTTGCAAAGGGAACACATGTGACATTAACGTTGAAAGAGGTGTGCTGGCAGTTCTACACAAATCGTCTTCCTATACACTAAAAACTGGTTTTTACTAGCAGCCAATTAACAAGGTTGCTTGCGAAAACCGATTTCAACATACAACCATGTTAAGCCGCCTAACTGCGATGATTTTTTTTTCTCTAAAAAATCAGAACCCTAACCGATTTCAATATACAACCATGTTAAGCCGCCACAGCAAGATCTAATTAACCTCCTCACCGTTGGAGAAGCTGACACCATTGCAGTCCTCAAGAAGGGATGATCCGTCGTATCCGTGGCAGCAGGCGGTGGATCTGCCACTATCGTTGCCAGGATGAAAATGGGATTTTGAATCAGGCGGTACGATGAAAATGCCTATTATGTACATTGAAAATGAGATTGTGCCGTATAAAATAGTAGGTAGTACGTATAGTTTCATCTATTGGATGCATCGTCGATTTTATATAACACCTTTTATACCATAATTTTCAGCTTTTACAATAACAACAGAAATTTTGATTATATATTGTATACTTACACGAAGTCACCAACTTGTACAATCAATACAAGTTTTGTCCTTAGTCTTTGCGATCTTTCTATATTGAGAGCTCAATTTTCACACAAATCAAAATTGAAGGGAATCCAAACAAAGAACGAACCAACACCTCCTATCTCCACACTATGCATGCGTTTGATTAGTGGATGAAACAAGATGGGTTGGGTTGATCCTATTTTTTAAGTTGTTTGGTTGGAGAAAGGTGTGGAATGAAATGGTCCTTGATGGGAATATTATGCTTAGATTCGGATAACGGAATGAAGGGAGTATATTGGACATGGTCGCGTGGTCGCATTTTCTATGTAATTAATAAAAATTGAATTTATATTTCGTAGAGAACGATGAGAACGTTTCTTCTAATAAAACCTAGTGGATGTATACATACAAATATATCGTACAAATGATAAAATTGATGATTTGCTACTCTTTAGGTTGCTACCATGTGACAATGTCGAGTGGGACTCTCATGATTCAATGACGTGTGGGTGGCGTGGCGATAAAAAAAATACATCAATTCTCGAGTGGAAAAATAATCGAATATAAATCTCCGGACAAATAGAAGAAATGATATACATCAAATCTATTTCAAAATCACCTCAACATGAGGCTTCGACCAAGTTCTACCATGCTTAATCTGCGCACTGACCGAGATCCAATCGTCCAGCCTCCACGGCCGATCGCCATTGCTCACCGTGTTCCACCCCCAGAGCCCGTCTTCCTCGACGCGCCCGTCCCGGACGAGCACCACGCGCTCCAATGTCGCGCACACCCGCACCAGGTACCTCAGGAACCGCGTATGCCGCGGCGCGCTCGCCGCGAACCCCACCATGCGCACCTCCCTCAGCCGCCGGTGCCGGAACTTGCGCCGCGGCTGCCAGTAGATCGGCCGCCCCAGGTGTTCGTCCGGCGAGGGGGCGGGCGCGGAGACGTGGATGTGCAGCGACTCGAGCGCCGGCGCCGCCTCGAGGAGGAGGCGCGGCCACGAGACGTCCCAGGTGGGCGGCACGTCGGCGACGAGGAGCTCCCTCAGGCCGAGCAGCGCGGCGCCGAGCGGGCGCGGGAGGATCCACCGCTTCGGCCCGGTGAAGCGGACGGCGAGCCTCGACATCGACGCCGGCGGCGCGCCCCCGAGGAGGGAGTCGAGGACGCGGTGGTGGGGCGGCGTCGCCGGGGACGTGGGGGCGGCGAACGTGAGGTTGACGTGCGTGAGGCGCGGGACGGCGCCGAAGCTGAGCTCCACCACCGGCACGGTGCCGTCGCCGAGGCACGCGAGGCGGCGGAGCTCGGGGAGGCCGCGCAGCTCGACAGCCCGGAACGAGCAGCTGTCCACGACGAGCTCCTCCACGCCGGAGCGCGGCGCGTCGATTACCAGGGCGTCGCCCGCGCCGCGGCAGCACAGGAGGTGCACCACCCGCAGGCGGCGGCACCCACCGAACACGGCGTCGTACGCGGACATCGGGGTGGACGCCGCCGTGTCCTGCAGGACGAGCCGCTCCAGCGCGGCGTACCGGTGCAGTGGCGGCAGCGCGCAGTGGCCCAGCGTCAGGCTGCGGAGGCGCGAGCGGTGGCGCTCGTCGTCGAGGAGGTGGTCCGGGAAGGCGTACACCGGCAGCGGGGGGTCGCGCGGCGCGGACCTGAGGACGACGACGTCGAGGTGCTCGACGCCCCACTCCCCGACGGCGGTGTCGATCATCCGGTCGATGGTGCCGGCGCCGTCGTAGGTGCGGAAGAACTCGAGGTAGAGCGACCTGGCGCGCCGGCGGCGAGCGCCGGGCGCGTCCAGGACCCCGGCGAGGCCGTCGAGGAACGCGCGCGTGGCGCGCCGGTCCAGGCGTTTGATGTACGGCAGCAGCCTGCCCTCGACGTCCTCGGCGTCGGCGGCGCCGCGCGCCCTGGCTCGGCGGAGGCGGTCGGTGGAGTGGAAGTAGCGCGGCGAGAGCACGTCGGCGACGGAGAACCTGAGCGCCGGGAGGCGGCGCGGGAGGCGCGCCCGGCGGCGGGGCGCCTTAATCCTAGGCGTGGCAGAAAGATTTTTAGTTTGGATGACGGTGGGAAGCAGCTACGTACACAGGTCGCAGAGATAATATAGGCGGCTCGGCGAGTCACCATCGCATTCCGATTCCGACTCCGATCCCTATCCTAACACGCTTGCTGCTCTTGTTGACGTGCTGTAAGGTGAGGTACCGAAAACAGAGCGATAGTTTAGCGTATCATTAGCTAAATAAACTTTAAAAATAGATTAATATGATTTTTATATGAACTTTTTTATTAAAAAAGTTGTGTAAAATATAGTTTAAGAAACATACGCGCAAAATATAAAAAAATAGAAGTTGAGAAAAGGGAGAAAAAAACACAGCCCAAACGATGGTTACTGTTGAGCAGAGCTGCTTGATTCCGCTGATATGATAGTTGATGAATAGATAATGTCTATGAACTGGTTTTTTTTTTTTGAAACTTTCAATTTTTAATTTTAAAAATAAACTCTTCTAAAACTTATTTTTAAAACCTAGATCTTTTGACCTGCCAAACATGGCAAAACAATACTAACACATCATCTGTAGTGGGCGTGATAGTTTTATTATGCCACAACAGCAAAACCGACGTGGCCAAGAAAGATTTATTTTTACAATTAAAAATTTAAAAATGTTTTAGAAAAATCAAAAAATCGCAAACTTGTTGGTTGTTAACAACAAAATTTGATAAGATGTACGAAGAAAACAATGGATTCGATGCGGATTTGGAGGAGATAATTCGGTTTCTAAAAACAGCGCAATGCATCGACTAGAAGGCTGTACCTTCGACACCCCACTCTCCAACGGTGATCTCAATCATCTGGTCAATGATATCAGCGTTGTTGTAGATGCGGAAGAACTCAAGGTAGAGTGCCTTGGTGTGCCGATGATGAGCACCGCTAGTACTGGGCGCATCTAAGATCCCAGCGATGCCATCGAGGAACGCGCACATGGCACGTTGGTCGGAGTGTTTGATGTACAACAATAGCTTGCCGTCGAAACAACTAAAACTCTCATTCCTACAGGCATAAGATGTTATGTTGATGTTTCTTGGTTGGATAATAAAAAATGAAGTATCTTTATTCATGATCCAACTTCTCATGCTGCCATTTGGATAAAGGCTATTAGTGCAAATTCTCTTTCACCTTTGCATGCAGAGCTTTCAGTGTTCTGGGTGGCTTATAAAACTTGCAGGTGTTTAAGCTTGATGAATGTCATCTTCCTCACTGATAGTGCAACAATTGCGACTATATTCCATCAAAATAATTTACAGGAGAACCCAGGACATTGGAGTTTAAGGCCATTACTATCAAAATTTCAGAATTTTCCTTGCAGGAGCAACAATTGCATGTCAAGTGGATCCCTCGGAAGGCAAATGAAGTTGCGGATAGACTTGCAAGTAAAGCTAGAAGACACAATTCTAGGGCTAGAAACTATAATTATTGTCTACAATAATTCTCATACTTGTTATCACTCTACATGTCCAACCACAAGTGCCCTAGTAAACCTCTGTCTTGAAGAGACGATCATAACTCATGTACTTTGTTTCTAATTTCTAGTGTAATAAAAGTCATTAGTTCTAAAAAAAAAGGGAGGTGCCTAGAGGTGGCCGAGAAAGCTGGTTTGTTCGGTGTTTGCTACCCCTTCATTTTTTTAAATAACCCACACAAGACAGCGCACAATTTCGTACTAATATAGTAGAAAACAAAACAAGTCTATAGCCCTGGAAGACTATAGCTAGAAAAAAAATAACCACACCACGCGTCTACAACCGGATCCCCGCTAGTAAAGAGTAAACATGAACACAACACCCCTAATGGAATGGGTCTTCAAATGACACCACCAGCGAAGAAACGGTGTCGAGAAACACCACCGTCACCTATTCTGAGAACATGACATGGTTTTCACCTAAAGAAAACCATCAAGGAGAGAAGAGATTCTACAACAATGCCCCAAGGGAAAAGTGGCGCCCATGAGTGTCGCTATTGTTGGCCCAAAGGCTAGGCTTTCACCCGTAATCTTCATGCCCTCCCATGCCACGTGCACCTGTCCGTATCAGCGGCCACCACCAACTGAGCACCTTCAATGCATAGCCACCACACCAGCGCCTTGCCGTCGACCATCCATTAAGCAGGATTGCAGGATCCAGCTCACTCAACCTCCATCCACACGATTGGGTTGAGGAGGAAGAGGATGAGAGAGAAGAGTGGATCTCCTCTTCCTCGTACTAGGCCGCCAGCGTGGCCATCTTGTGACGGCAAGGCGTCACCACGAGAGGACTAGCGTATGGATCAGAGTCCGTTGCATGCCCTGCAAACACCCACCTCACGGCATCGCTGACGCCTCCACCTCGGGCAGACTGCCCACCTTGCTATCGCCTCGCCCCGAAGCCATCATTCGTCATCGGATCTCCCATGTGGTAGCGCCTCAACGGTGCCATCATTCCTGCCTCCATCCATCGACATGTTGCCACTGGACACCGGCCACGCCGCGATCGCCTCCCGTTGGGCTCCAGCTGTCGTCACCAATCAGCATGGGTTCTTGCTACCCGCGTGCGCCACTGCCAGAGCACGACAGCCCTCGCTGCCGCGCTTGCCTCCACCAGCCTTCTCTTGCGCCTCATCGGTCTCCTGCTGTCTCGTGCGCTGCTAGTCGGCTCCTCCGGCCAGATCCATTGCAGGGGCGACAGATCTAGCCGTGGGTGGACCAGATCCTATCGTGGCGGCATCGGATCCGTCGCCTAGCGCTGCGCAGCGTCGCCGCCTCGTCTTCCCCACACATCGCATGTCAAGCCGCCTTCCCCGCGCCGAGGTGGAGCGCCGCCGAGGGTTTGACCCCACATTCCCCTACAATTTTGATTTTCATGAACACTGAGTTCTCGATGTGTTTACACGGTTCGTGTAAGCCATAAACTAAATATGTCGGAGAAAACGTTGATGCCATCAACTTTTAGCCAATCTTCTATTTCTTCCTATAGTCCAAAGTAGAATTCCACCTTCATATGTGCTCGCTACTTTCTAATGGACACTCAACTGACTAAAATTCGTTTTGTCATTGTATTTTAGCTTTGGTTTACACGTAACCGATAAGTTTATACACATTCAATTATATCCTCCTAACAAATTCGTGTATCACAATAATTTAACTCTACTCCTGATTAATTCAGCAGAGAGAGAACGTGTTTAGGCCGGAGATGCAGATCTCGGTTTGATCTAGGCCGTTGAGTCCCGATCTGACGCCTTGTAGAGCCCAACACACCGGCGGCTCTGCATCTCGAAGCCCACCGGCCGAAGCCCCCCCCCCCCCCCCCCACACACACACACACACCGGCGCCGCCGCCCCTACTCCGATGGCTACTCCGGCCAGCGAGCCCGCCGGCGCAGGGACGCCGGAGCCAGCAGCGCCGTTCTCCGCCGACTGGAAGGAGCGGATCTTGCTGCCCGCCGCGGTCGCCGGTGAGCCGCCCCCAACCCACCCCCCGAAGAAAAACTCGCCGCGGGCGATTCCAAAGGGGGAGGGGGATTCGCTGACTTTTGGGATGCTCTGTAGGTGTGGTCGGAGCTGGATTCGGGCTGCTGTCGCGGCACCGGGCTCGCCTTGGCGCCGCCCGCGCCACCGCCACCTACGCCGCCAACCTCGCCATCGTCGCCGGGTGCTACGGTGGTGAGCTCCTCTTGTTACGCCGGGGCGTCTGATTTGTTTAGCTTTTTGTTGCAAAGTCTGTAGCTCTTGGGTTGAATTGAATCTCTAAGTGAGGTGCGGTTAGATACCCCGATTTGGATTATTGGAGTAGTATTTCTTCACTGAACTTGTGACTTCGATAATCTACTGTTGTGGTAGGAGAGAAGTAGACTTGCTATACTTCACTTCTCACCATTTCTTAGTTATGACTTGAATGTTGGTTGAGATTATTAAATTTAAGCTACTAGACTATCATTACAAAAAAACCGTGAGTAACTGGATCGGACTTAAACTCATTTTGGAGGCGGGTTGCCTGGGAACATGGCGCAGATGATGATATAATGATAGGCATATACAAAACGATTTCACATTTCTAGTAGTGTCTCAGTTTGGGATACTGAATTACTATTCTTGTTAACCATTGAACAAGGTAGCCTTTCTCTGCGTAAATTAGCATAGCCATTTTTGCTGGGGAATTTGATGTGGTGCCTTGAGAATTGCGATATTGTGACTTTGTGAGTGATTATCTTCTAACATGCCTCCAGTCCCTCCATAGTAAGGTTTCTGATTATCCATTATCCTCTAAGCATGCTGTTAATCGTGCTATCAACATCCATGAAGCTATTTCACAACATCCATGAAGCAATTGTGAATAAAAGAATGATTGTCTTAGTTTGTTGTTACCATTGTCTCACTTTGATTTGGCAAAGATTCAATGCCTAAGTAAATCTCTCTTTGATCTATTGTCTATGATATGATCTTAGGAAAATTAAGCTCATCAGATATGAGTAAGTAGAATTGTGGCAGGCTGGCAGCTATGATCTTTTAAATGCAATGCCCTCAACATAACCTTTTTAGTGCCCACAACTCCTTTTTTTTCCTTTTTCCTAGCACTTGATCAGTTGAAATAATTCGGGGTTTTATTGCTCAAGATTACAAAAAAACTGGAGAAATTTCTGGTCAGCCAAGGAACATAGGTTGTAGCTATTGTGCTACATGGGTTCTGGAAATGTTTGACATATTTGAAACCCTACTTGACATGTTTGAACTTGTTTTGAGCTATTATTGCTTACATTTGTACACAGTATGAAGTATGAACATTTGTTGTCCTTTTCACATCAGAATCTGGCATTGGTTTTAATTCTGCTTGGTACTACAACTGTACAAGTTCTATCTTGTGGCTTTTAATCTACTATTTAGAATACATAACTTTTTTAGTGGGATTTAGAATACATACTTTTGCACTGTTCGTTTTGGACTATGATTTTCATTTTAGGGAACATATTAAACATGTTTGTAAAAGGTGGAATAGCGTCTTCTCATTTATTGCAGCACTTATATTTTCTGTAAGCTCATGTTAATAAGGGACATGGAGCCTCTGGATGAATATATTATATATCAACATGTTTATGTAATGCATGTGCTTGTTTCCATTCAGGAGCACGTGAACTTGCAAGAGATGCTCGGGCTTCAACACCTGATGATCCCATGAACTCCGTTGTTGGTGGGCTAGCAAGCGGAGCTGTTCTTGGTCGATTACAAGGTTGATCATTATATTGCACAATCATATTTGGACTTTTGTTCTTTCCATATTTGAAAGTATCTAATTTAATCTTTTCAGTAACTTCGTATTTTAGGGGTTATCAGGCAGGTTTCATGTATGGTACTAAAATCAACAACTTAGATCAGAAAGCAATTATATTATATATTTCCACATGCTATCTTTACAAAATACATATAGCAGCCATAAAATACTAAGCTAGTAAGCTAGAGTTCACCAACAGACTTGATAGCCATCAGGGTTTGTGCTTTAATCTGTTCAGGCAACATTTTGGAAGCTAGAAGTTATGCCTACTTCGGATAACATCTGAACAAAAGTTCTAGTGCACCTGTAACGTGGGGCCCTTTTATTTTCTCAAAATTGGCATAGTGTTGTACATGGAAGAAATGTGTGCTGGTCCCGGACACCATCATGGGTAAAATCATAAAAAGGTTAATTTATTGTAAATTGTGATGTGCTCATTTGTTTTCACTGGTTTTCCAGAATTTTGTGGGATGTGGGTACTGGTAAGGCTACTATTACTGAACTTGAGTGTCTTTCAGTTCCTGTCTTCTGTTAGATGCGGGATTGCCTATTGTATGTCTCTTTCTTATACATCTCCAGAATCTTTGTAACATCTTCTACTCTTGTTTCCAAAGAAAGCTCTACATAAAAGCTTTCAATTTGCATCCTTCAACATCACTATAGTTAATTGCACTTATTGATATCACTCTACAGTGAATTTTAGAGTTAATTTACTATGATGCATAGTGTAGCCTTTCTGATGTATTAGCAGTCTTAGTTTAGTTCCATTCAAGAGCTTAAGATATTTCAATTTTGTTCTCATGGGTTATCTAAGGTGGGTGGTCTTGCTGAGCTCCAATCTAATCATAATAAGATCTTCAGTTCCATTTAAATGAAAGGCATCATTGTTGTCTTTGGTAGCCCTTTTTTTTTTTTAAAAAAAAAACTATTATGCAAACCTTGGATTGCTTCATTCTACCATTTAATCCATCTTTCTTCCAAGCTTGTGAACAAATTATGAAATATATGCTTTCAACCTGCTATTACTAGATTCTCCAGTTATGCATATGCTTGCATGTCCACTTGACTATTCTGTTCAATTAAATTTCCACTTGACTATTGCTTTAGATTACCTTGAAGTTTCATAGATAGTCCAATGTGATTTGCCTTACTCAAATTATCAACAAGTCTGATCATTTTATAAAAATCAACCCTTCTTTGTGATGAATACCTTTTGGCCTTCAGAATTCAAACTTGTCTGAATTTGTTTGCTGTGATGCAAGCATTTTCTAACTTGTCTGAATGGCATTATTTGTTTTCTACCAGGCAGCTTGGTGGAAACTTTTGGGATATATATATTGTCTGAAAACTCGCATAAAATTATATCGCAATGTTCATGTTTGTGCCCTGGATCTCATGATTTGCATTTGCTCACTGTCGCTGCAGGCGGACACTTTGGGGCAGTTAAGTATGCAGTTACCTTTGCAGCTGCTGGTACCGCATTGGACTATGCTGCACTGAAGCTGAGTCCTCAAATTAATGGCAAATGGCATGCCCTGAAAGAACATTTTTCTGGAGACAAAGACTGGTTTACGCTCCCCGAATGGTCGCCTATTCAGGTGTTGGATGAGGAGGCCTTGGCGAAGAAACGAGCTCGAGAAGAGAAGTTGTTCGCTCAGCGAGCTCTCAGTAAACTTAGCAAGGAGGAACCATAGTTACAGTGCTACAGTACTGCTATAGACTTGATAGTTTTGTCAAGGCGCTATGCGTCACGTAAACCATTATAGTTCTAGACTGTTAGAACATTCAAATTTTGGAGTTTTTTTTATCTTTTCGTTATCCTTTGTAAGCTTTTCACGGAAAGGGAGAAACCATGTTGGTCATTGTTGTACTGGAAAGGGTTTTAGCTTCCAAAACATTTGCTTGTCTGCTGTGGTGTTTGTAATACTGCTGGTAATCTGGCACCTTTTGGAAGTAAACTCTTTGAATCACAAACCAGAATGTGAAATTTAAATGCGTTATTTTTCCTGTAAAATACCATTGACTATTATGTAGGAGTATGTATTATTGTTTGTCATTAGCAATCTTAAGTTATGCATAGACAATCTTGAAAGCTCTTCTACGGCGTGGATTCAAAGTGAGCCAAAATGCGTCACAAAAATAAGAACAAGGGTTAAAACATTAAAAAAATAATCCTGCTATATGCAATGATTTAGAGAGGCAATGCACAATGATTTAGTTCTCCTTCAGGCTTTAGTCACTTTATACAAAAACACAAAAAAGACCAAAAAGGAAAAAAGAAAACCAAAACTATTTTATATATAAAAGGCCCACTACAAGTAATTACCCACTAGGCCCATAAAGGACCACTACAAGTCATTACCCATTAGGCCCATCAAGGCCCATCTAAAATTTCTAGGGTTTCCTCATCCTCGATGGGGTTTATCCTTCGAGCACATATATAATCCGCACGCCGCCGCCTCCCTCTCTGCTTCGCACTCCATTTTCCCTCTCCCCGCTCGCCGCCGCCGCCGCCGCCAGCCAAGCTCGCCGCTCGCCATGGGTAAGCCTCCCCCTCCTCTCCCTCTCTCCGGTTCATCTCGATTAGTTTTAGCTCTCAATCCCTTCCGGATCTGACCGTTTCTTGGACAAATGTCAGCCCGGATCAAGGTGCACGAGCTCCGGGGGAAGAACAAGGCGGAGCTGCAGGCCCAGCTCAAGGACCTCAAGGCGGAGCTCTCCCTCCTCCGCGTCGCCAAGGTCACCGGCGGCGCCCCCAACAAGCTCTCCAAGATGTGCGCCTCCTTCCTCCTTCTCTCTCGCTCGTTTGTTGGTGTGGCTGGATCTCGCTCACGGGTTCTTGGGGTGGTGAATTTTTTTTCGCAGCAAGGTGGTGCGCACCTCGATCGCGCGCGTGCTGACGGTGATCTCGCAGAAGCAGAAGGCGGCGCTGAGGGAGGCGTACAAGAAGAAGAGCCTGCTCCCGCTCGACCTCCGCCCCAAGAAGACCCGCGCCATCCGCAGGCGCCTCACCAAGCACCAGGTATAGAAACAACTCGTGTCTCTTCTCTTTCTTTGTCCCATTCGAATGCATCTACCTTATACTAATTGGATGTGAATTACCTCAGTTATTGTTTAGGGCTAGATGTGCTGTGTTACATAGGCATTTTTCGGTCAAATTGCTCTAGTTGATGTTGAAACAGTTACCAATTCTTCAGTGCAAGCTGTGTTTTTTTTATGTTAGATTGGATTAGTAGAACACATGTATTGGGAATCAAGAGAGCTCTTTAGGAAGAACGATTTTTGCACGGATTTTTATGAGATTTTATTGTGTGGCTTGCCTAGTTGTTGCTGGTGATTTGCGTATTTCGGTTACTACTCTGTTAGCTGTTTGTAGTTTAATTGTGATAAGCTGTTCGCAAATTGTCATATGATTGCTGTAAAGCTGTTGGTCTCACCTTGTAAGAGTATATAGTGCTGAGTTTGGTTATTTTGTGTATGCATGTGACATACTGCGGAATGATAATTACTGCTTGTCTTAGGTGATACATACTCCCATCCATTAAATCATTTAGTCAGGCTCACAGGCTTGTTTAATACCCTTTTGGTTCAATATTCGCTTCTTGTTTTGTTATTTTTGCTGTTTGTTATTGGTTATTTTCACACTAGGCTTTAATCATATGGCATGCATGTCATAGTGTGTCCTCTCCTGTGTGCCTTGTTTTTGTTGTAACAAATTACAGGGACCATGCAATTCCCTATTTGAATCACTTTTGAGACCTGAGCCTCACCTCCTTTAGGAATTCTGGTCATAGCAGGATTTACATCGAGTTTAAAGCTGTCTCTTTAGGTCTTCAGCTGCATTTGTATTATGCATCTGGTGTAGTTTAGAATTTGGAGATTTTATTTATGGTGCATGTAACTTAGGTCGTTTTATGTTTATGGTCTTGTCTTGTGAAATCCTCTAGTTTGATCTGATCCTGTTAAAATATTTAGCTAAATGGTTTGGGCTTTTGGTACTGAATGATTTGCTTTACTATTGTGCAGCTCTCTTTGAAGACCGAGAGGGAGAAGAAGCGTGAGAAGTATTTCCCCATGAGGAAGTATGCTGTTAAAGCTTAGGTTATTAGGAACATAAATGTTTTACCGGTCAAGTTTTGCCCAGTTGCCTAAATTTGATGTTTTGTGTGGACATCCATTGTCACCTTAGTACAATGTATTTGGTCTACTGCATGAAGTGCGTACTATTTTGCCTTTTAACGTTGTTATTTGGTTATAGCTGCCTGTCACCTGTCTGTTGAAAATGTGATGGTTACCTTAATGTTTAAGAGATTCCACTTGAACTATGTCCCTACGTAGTTCAACCGTGGATGGGCATTCAAATTCAATCTATACCAAAGGTAGTGTGTGCTAGTGCTGAACTGAGGAGCACATTCTTCATCTCTGGTAGTTTTGCTGAAACCTGATGTGCAAATTATAGTAGTTACTACCAGGTTTCACTTTTTTTTGATTGAGGTGGATTCACTCCAGGGCTGCGGTGCTTTTTGTGAAACTTTGATCAAAATATGGCTTGGAATTGGAATTGGTAGATATATTTGTTGGTTCGATGAAGAGTAAGCAAATTGATGGGAGAATTGCAAATATAACACTACTCTTGCAATCTAATTCGAAATAGCCCCTAAAAAACACAAAACTGCAAAATTTTGCCACTGAAATTGGTGTGCACACATCTATTTGCCATTGACAAATAAGAAGACAAAAATAATTCATAAAACCAATATAAGAAATACAGCAAGAGTTCATAAAACCAATATAAAAAAGACACATATAAGACCGTTTTAGCCCCTTCTTAACCCTCTCCCACTCAGGAACCCTACATTCCCATATCTTTTCATCTCTTCATGCAAATCAACTTGCACTACAACAGAAACCCCGACGCCTCTCAAATCCTTTCATCTCTTCTTGCAAATCAACTGAAATTGATTTGTCATCTAGTTTATCTCAAGTAATCAACTGAAAATTGATTCATCTAGCTTTAGTTTATATCAAGTAATCAACTGAAAATTGATTCATCTAGCTTTATCTCAAGTCGGGTAGGAATTAATGACGGACGAAATTAGCAACTTCGATCATCATTTATTTCGGTTGGCATGTTCTTTTAGAAAGTAAAAATGATTCTTATGGATTATTGTATGGCATGTTCCTTTTAGAAAGTAAAAATGATTCTTATGGATTATTGTAACGGTATCCGTGATAGTATGTACGAGTATGTGTGGATAATGACTTGAAATCATGCTAGGAATCATGTCGTGTAATACGAATAGAATCGGATGTTTTAGGCAACGATGTACATGATATATCCACACGGATTTTGCGCGTTTCATTCGCTTGGTATTTACATCACACGGACCTCTTTCACATTTCGCTCATGAATTGTGACTTCGCAATGAATGTTACGCGTGACAGGAATCGGATATACACGTACCATAGTTTTGACAAAAACATCTTCAATTTTTAAATCGCAGGCGAGGACGACGTAGTCCCAAATCCCAATTGGACATTCGGGAAGAGCAAATCGTGCACGCGAGGGCGTCGCAGGCCCAATCGGGCATGCGGAAATTCACACGCCTTAGTCCGTTTAATTGTCTTAAAGTTAATTGTACTATCGCTAATAACATATATATAAAAGGTTTATTCATAAATAATTTTTATTTGCTAGTAATAAACGATTTGGATAAGCATATAAATAAGCGTGACAATAAGATAGTACCTCTCCGTCCTATAAACAAACGAATCTAGAATCGGATATGACATATCCTAGTACTATGAATCTAGATAAATATATATCCAGATTCGTAATACTAGGATATATTACATCGGGTATTAGGCTAGTTTTTTATGGGATAGAGTAACTGAGTAAGTGAGTTCACGGGACCTACTTGCACCGCTGATTGCGAGGGGAAAAGTACACGAAGGTCCCTCAACTTGCCATCGAGTTACAAAATCGTCCCCCAACAGCAAATCCAGATATCCGGCGTCCCTTAACTAATCAAAACCGGCCACAATAGGTCCTTTGGTGGTTTTAACCTCGGTTTTATCCTACGTGGCGGCTGAGTCAGCGTGAGACCCATGTGTCAGCGTGGCCATGCTAGCCTCCTCTCTCTCTCTCCCTTCTCTATGAGGGCAGCAGTGTGAGGTGGGAGAGCAGGAGGGCGTCGGTTGCTGGTGACGGGCGGCGTGACGGCGGTGGGGGGAGGAGCGGCGGGCGGGCGGTGGGGGACGGGCAGCGCGCGGGCTCCCCCGTCGGCCGCGCCCACAAGGCAGAGGAATGGTGGCCAGGGGAGAGGAGCGGCGGCCGGCGGAGTGGAGTTGGGCAGCCCCTTCGTTCCTCTCCTTTCCTCCTCACTCTCTCACTCTTCTCTCTGGACTGGGCAGGCTGGCCGGCAGTGGGAAGGAGGTTGAGGATGATGTTGTACGACACGGCGTTGAGGTGGACGCCTCGCTTCGGGGCGAGCGGGAGCATGTCCTTGGTGGCATCCGCGCGACCATTGGAAACGAGGGCGTTGAGGAACAAATGGAATGTGGCGGCAGAGTGGGAGTAGAAGGCTGGGACGGCGCGGAAGACGACGACTGCAGCGTCGGGGCGAGAAGCGGCGCCGAGGTGGTTGATGACAGGGGCAAACACGGTGGGCCGGAGTGGGCCGCCGTGGGAGTGCAATGCGGCGAGGAGCGGGGGCACGAGTGGGAAGAGGCGCGCGCGGGCGAGGCGGTACAACACGCAGGCGGTGAAGGGGTGGTCGTGGAGGTGCCTAGGCGCCGTCGCCTCTCCGCCACCGCGCTCGCCCGCCGACACCGCCTCGCCCTGCCGCCACCCTCCTCTTCTCTCGTGTCTCCGCCACCGCATCGTCGGCCGCCTGTCGGACCTCCTCGCTCTGACGACCTTCTCCCCACCGCTGGCTGGCCTGCCCAGTCCAGAGAGAAGGGTGTGTGTGTTTGTGAGAGAGAGAGGAGGAAAGGAGAGGAAGGGAGAGGCCGGCCTGCTGACGTGGCATCATGACACATGGGGCCCACGCTGACTCAGCCGCCACGTCGGACAAAACCGGTGTCAAAATCACCGAGGGACCTAGTTTGCACTGGTTTTGTAAGTTGGATGATGCGTCATATCTAGTTTTACGGTTGGGGGACGATTTTGTATCTCGATGACAAGTTGAGGGACCTTCGGTGTACTTTTCCATTGCGAGGACTGGGGGAGAGATGGCATGGGCTTTAACATGGGCCTGGCCCACTAACGCTAGACGCACCGGCGCACACTATGCTCCTCCTCCCCCCTCCTTCCCCTACACGACTCTACTCGATTCGACCGTTCCGCCGCTTCCGCAGCCTCCCCCAATTCAAAAAGAGGAAAGAAACGCTCCTCCTCTCCTCCCCCCACCCCCCCGCTCCTCTCAAATCTCCTCCCATCCCCCAGATCGATCTCCACAACCCCAAAAACAAAAGAAAAAACAAAATTCTGGGAATGGAGCAGCAGCAGAAGCAGGAACCCGGCGGCGGCGGCGGCGGCGTCAGAGTCGTCGCGAGGATCTGCCCCTGCGCACCACCGCCACCACCACCCGACGCCGCCCTCAACTTCCAGGTCGCCGCCCTCAATGACCCCGCCCTAATCTCCTTCATCCCCCGTCGCCCAACCGCATCCGCCGCCACCGCCGCGGCCTCTGGGTAAGATAAGAACAAACGCCTTACTGTTTGGATTTTGGGGGATTTTTGTTTTATTTTATCGCTGATGAAATTTAACCACACGCGGTTGCGGCACCAGCCGAGGAGATGGCCCCAAGGATAAGCAGCAGCAGCAGCAGCAGAAGTACAGGGTCGATGGCTGCTACCTCAGAGACGATCCCAACCACCGCGTCTTCCACAACGAGGTCAAGCCGCTCATTGATGGCAGAGGTGGAGGAGGAGGAGGACGCGGCGGCGCCAAAGCCTGCGTCGTCGCCTGTGGTGATGCGGCTGCCAAACGTCACCTCTTCATGGTATTATTAATTTATTATTATGGGTTACTAGCTGGATGAACTTGAGTTGCAACGGAATTAAAAGAAGAGAGAAAAAAATAATCGTATCTTTACCATTTCAAATATTAATCCAAGAATTCATGTTGCAGTTGGAGTTTGATATCTTCCCCCCTTAAATACTTTGTATAGAAATTCTCTTTATTGTTTGTTGTTTTCAGATCACAGTTTGATAGTTCAATATGTCTTGAGATAGTGGTTGCAGGTTTAGGCAGATTCACCACCACTTGAGTCTTTTAAAAGAGTACAGATGCTAATTTTTCTTGCATTACATAAATACTGTATTTACATGCTACCCCAGCTGAGGCTGAGCCTGCCTTTCGTCAGAACCTAACACCATCTTGCATTCCTCAGTTGCAATTGTCACTGTTAGGCTACTCACTCTCCTCATCTGCAGGGGTCTCCTGATCAACCTGGCTTGTTCACCATGGCAATGGCGCAACTCCTCGACTCCTCCAAAGCCATTGGTGCCGCTGTCACTGTCTCATCCTATCAGGTGCTCCAAGATACTCACATCCTCGACCTCTTGGAGCCCAAGAACCATGAGGTTCTCATACTAGAGGATGCCGACGGACAGACTCACCTCAAGGGCCTCTCCAGGGTACAGCACTACTCATCTTTCCTGAATTGTTTGTATGCCTATTAAATCATAGCAAAATTCATTTAGTATTAACTGGATCCGTCATATTTTACAGGTTGGTGTCAACTCAATCGAGGAGTTTTCGCAGCTTTGTTGTTGCGCTACCAACCAGCAGAGGCACCATCCCGCTAAAGATTCCACCCAGTTACAGGATTGGGGACACCAAGGGCTGATTATCTACGTCTCTAGCTTTGATCAGCAAGGCAAAGAATGTGCTCTAGCTAAGATAAACTTCCTCAACCTGGCAGGTCTGCTCTTCTCTTTTCTGCACCCAACCTTCTAGCTCCTCATTGGTATAGTGTGTTGCATAAATATTGTACTGCATATTTCGATCATCAGGCTATGTGGATCCCAAGCAGAAGAAGAATGAAGGTCTTGCTCTACTAACCGGTAACAAGTCTATGCATGCCTTGATGAATGTTGTCCAAGCACTGAACAGCAACCAGAGATTTGTACCATATAGACAAAGCAAAGTAACTCGTATTCTGCAAGATTCTTTATGCAAGAGCAAGACGAGCGGTAGCGTCCTGATAGCCTGTTTGGTAAGCTACTAACAGCTAACACTTTCCTTTTGTATAGGGCTGCACCAAAGAAAATAGTTATCAAACTAGTTTGACTCTTACCCATGTAAGTTCTACAAGTATATTTACCTGTGAAATGCAAGTTTTAGCATTTGGTCACGGTACCTGTCGGTGATTAGGATTCGATCAATATATGTGCGTGCTATATGTACATGTTGCTGATAAAGTAGTTTAGCATAAAACAGAACCTTCATGCCTGATAGTATTGTTCTTCACTAAGTCACCAAACTAGTACTACCTTTTAGTCCAAGGATATGTCGGTGTGATAATTCGATCCAGTCCTCATTTGCCATATGCTACAAATTGTTATACAGAATATGTACTAAAGCATCGCTCCATCTACAGTTAGCTTTGACTGGTTGTTACATATTTGCATATGTACCATAGCTTTCCTGTTTGAACTGATACACAATAGGTGTTACTCTCCCAATCTAAATATATGTTTCCTTGTTCTTGCTTGTTGTAGGCTGAAGATTGCTGCCAAGATTCAGTTTCTACTCTTGCCTTGGCTTCTCGCTCGAGCCAAGTGGTCAATGAACAATACTACAGCTTATCCTTGAGTGCTAAAAAATCATCAAAGTCAAATATGAACTTACCTACCGATGCCAAAACCTTGTCAAGGACGTTTATTCACAAAACAATGTCGATGCAAGAGAAGAATGCCCGACCTGGATTCAATAATAGTGGTGTAAAAGGCGGACAAACTCCTACTGCTAATAGAAGGTCTTAGGAATTTAATATGTGAAGTAAAAGATTTTGAGCTTGGTATTTCATTACAAAGTGTAGCTAATTGAGGTTTTATTTCACGCAGGACTCAGCCAATCATTAGTTCAACGAAAAAATCTGGAAGCTCAATCTGTACTTCAATTAAGATGAAGGAAAATTATGCTAAACCTAAAATAAGTGGAAGGTACTCTTGTGAAAATAGATCTATCATTCTTTTTTTTCTAAACCAGCTTAAATTGTTTTTTTTTGTTGTCAGGAAATTATTTTGTCCAAGCAACAATTCATTGAAGGTACAAAACTGACTATCTTAATTGTTATACTCTGTTGCGGTTTATCAGACAAGTAACACATGGGCATGAAATTGCTTTTATCGTCTAATTGACTAATCAATTTCAACTTTTGAACTATTTAGGAGGAGAATGCTACGGATGTTGCTTCTACAGTGGTAACAGAAACTAAGTCAGCAACAGTGAGAATACAAGCTGATGTTAGTATAATAAGCACCCTACTATGCATTTTTGGTGATTATCAGTTGAGTTATTTTATCTTGGACCTCCTTACATTATTGTACAGGAAGTACAACCATTAGTAGGCATGGAAATTCGAGCTGCATTACTAAATGAGGTACACTATTATGGTTTCCTTTCAGCTGTGTTCCAAAGTGAATGCCTATTGATATAATTTTGGAGCAAAATGCAGGGATGTTCTGAAATAGGAAACACCGGAGATGTTAAATCATCTGAAATGCAAGAAGTGGTACATTGCAGCACACAAGAACTGCTAGCAAGTACTATACAAGAAGAGGTATCTCTTTTCAAGGAATACCTCATTATCTGTTTGGAGTTCTGTATTAAATACGTAGTGCCCCTGTCACTTTGTTCAGGACTATGCCTTGTCAAATATGGAACCGGAGAATTCATGTACTGACATGGGATTGACCTGCTCTTCTATCACTGGTATAGCATCACTTTTATTATTTGGTTGCCAAGTTCATTACGAGAATGGAAAGTATGATCACATAATCACCTGACTGGCACTCCCAGATAACCTTGTTGAGAAGACTCCTGCCAGCAGTACCCTATCCTCCCCAAAGTTGAGTGACCGACTGAGAGAGATTTCAAACTCATTGAAGCTTCTTAGCACTCGGCCAGTGAGCGTGAGGGCAGAAAAGTGGGACATAGAATGTGCCCGGAGAATCAACACGATTGCACCAGAGCCAAAAACTCCTGAAGTGCATTTGAAATTTGAGCAAGCAGAAGATCCCAAGGATAAACTTACGGCCCGCAGCACTGGGATTAAGGTTAACCTGTTTTTTTTTTAATTCACTGACTCATTTTATTCGCTTAATGTGTTTGTACCTTCTTATAATCATCTTGCCTGATGAATTCTCTCTTGTTTTTTCTGCCCCACAGAAATCTCTAGCTCAAGAGTGCTTGACTTTTCTCAACAGTGCTAATAAGTGAGTTTGGCATTATCTTTACAACCGACTTCACACTACTTCTGCATTTCTAATGCATGTTTGTTTGTGTGTCCATTGCAGGGAGCAATTAAAAAGCTTAAAGGTTTGCTCTGAATCATATTGTGGCAGCCCAGATTGCTTCTTTCTTACCATTAACCCACTGATACATGTGTAGGGAATCGGAGATAAAAGGGCAAACTACATACTTGAGCTTCGTGAGGAGTCACCAGAGCTATTTAAAGAGGTGAGCACTCTAGATCAACAAGGGAGTAGCCGTTAGACCCAAGCAACTAGAAGTTATTATATGACAATGCAACTCAGAGCTGATTACTTTGCTTTCGCAGATAAGTGATCTGAGAGACATCATCGGAATGAATTCAAAAGAGGTACTGGAGAATCTGATTGCAATGTGTACATTTATCTATGTTCTTTGATCACTGGAAGATGGTTTTAGTTTTCACAAACATTTCACTGGATTACACTGCCACTAGAGATATTCCTGAATAGTATTATAGTATTAGACTCCAGCTGCTTCATTTGCAAACTCCATGGATTTTGGGTGTACTAAAATTGCCACTGCTTTGTTATCTTCACCAGATCAAAAAGATGATGTCCGGGATTATCGACCCCTAAGAAAGTGAGCAATGGGAGTGCGATGGTTCTCCTGTGGAGTGTGCATATGCATCTTTGGTCAAAGGTGTCATGTCTTTGTTTTGTATTTTTTTTTGTCCAGTTGCTTCTCAAGAGCGAATGCTTTGGTCAGGAGTTGGCATTCTGTGAGAGAATCAGTGCTTTGCAGTGGTTTGCTGCTATTATGTGTTCTTTGTAATCATCATACAGTGTCGTACCAATATTGATAATGTGTGGCGTTAATGTGATTTCCTCTCTTTTGATGTTTGTTGCTATAAATGCCAATTTATTGTTTTAGAAAAAATAATGAGCCAACGAATATTCCTATTTGTTGATCTGAGAAGGTCATTTCTAGTTGTTTTCGTATTCCAATAAATATTCGTTCTGATCCATATTCGTTTTGTTTTTGTATTCGATAATATTTGACTCTGTTTTTGTATATGTGGTTTCTGGTTTTGATTTTGATTTCCGAAAAAAATGAAAACGGAAATGGTAGAAACAGTTTCTGTCTGTTTCTGAACCCTTTTTATCCCTTGAAGAAAACAATAAAATGAAGTTAATACGGGTGTTGGGGTGTTGGGGCTGGTATGGAAATGACATGGACAAATTAGATGTTGTAACCATCTACTCCCTCCGTCCCAAAATAAGGTGATTCGTGGGTTTCCGTGTCCAACTTTGACCATCTGTCATATATGAATTTTTTATTAATTAATATTTTTATTTTTATTTTTATTAGATGATATAACATGAATAATATTTTATGCGTGACTTATCTTTTTAAATTTTTTCATATTTTTTTCAAATAAAACGGACGGTTAAAGGTTGTACATGGAAACTCACGAATCACTTATTTTGGGACGGAGAAAGTATACTAATCAACTTATTTTGGGACGGAGGGAGTATACTGTTAAACTTGCTCTTAAGATACTATGTGGTGGGAGAAAGATCTATTAAGCAAGGCAGATGCTAGGATATGTTGGATTTGTAGAACATGAATTAATGGGAGGGAGAAACATAGATGTTAAGTTTAATACGGTTTTTATTCTAAAATATAGCAACCTATACTAGAACATCACCTATTAGTATGAATCTGATGGATTGGTCTAGATTCATGATATGAAACATTTTGCCTCAAAAGATGGAACATTATGTATTCCCTAGAACCTGAGTTTTTTTTAAAAAAATACTATATTTCTAAATGTTGTTGTCATGTGGTAGTGTTTCAACAGGACATCATTTCAAGACAACAAAGCCCTATACTCCGGTCCTCTCTACTTAATTTCACTCGGCCAGCTGAAGGGTGTCTAATGTGGCCACCTGCAGGCCACCCTTTATCACAAAGAGCTTTTATGGATTGAAATAAGCTCCTATGTCCGACATAGAACTATCTCAGGTCCTGAGGATATATGGTCCAAATAGCTGAAAAGGAGACCATGGGAGTTGTGAAAGATTTTGGTTCAGCTGTGTTTTTCTTTAAAGAACTCAAACAGGAAAATTGAACCCGAATCATCTAAGTTTTAACATAATATTATTTTTCTAGATGCAAACACACAGGTTTTATTTTTCTAGTGTGTGTGTGTATACACACACACACACACATATATATATATATATATATATTACATATATATATTATATGTATGTATGTATACATGTATACATATATGTATACATGTATACATCTATGTATGTATGTATACATGTATACATATATATATATATATATATATATATATATATATATATATAGAGAGAGAGAGAGAGAGAGAGAGAGAGAGAGAGAGAGAGAGATAGTAGTGGTATCAGATGAATAAATTGATACCACTACTATTCTTAGTGCTGAATTCACTATTAAGAGTAGCAGAATTACTGTTCACAGTCGCTTACTATTCTTAGTGCTGAATTCACTATTATGAGTAGCAGAATTACTGTTCACTCGAAAATTTTCTTTAAATTTTTAGGATCTTTGCAGGGTGGCGAATCCAAAAACAGCCGGCGCTAGATTTAGAAATTTTAAAGTCCTACTCGGTACTAGCCGTATGCCTCACTTATCTACCTATTTAAGCAACCATCTTCAGGTATCCCTAGTCATATTTGAACTAGCTAAGCGTTTACCGTCTCCCCAGGCTGTTCCACCCGAGGGGAACACTTCTCTACGGATACTGGTTCTCCAGACGCCTATGCAAGATGCAGGCTAAAAACGAGAACAACCGAGAGGTTTCTCCTATAGGGTCCCTAGCATAAACGCTTGTCTAGAGCAAACAGACATGGAAACTTAAAGAAAATTACTTCATATTAAGCAGATAGGCTTACATACGGTTTTCCCTTTCAGGAACCCCGAAGGTAGATACAAACAAGTTTTTCTCACCTTAGAAACATTTATATTACAACTCCTTGCTTCAATATATATTATGCAAGGTAGGCTAGAGGAACTACTACTAAGAAAGATGGAATGGAGGGTGAGAGTGCGCTTGGAAGCCTTTCTCTGAATCGTGTCTTCGTGGTTGTGTGTCTCCGGAGTGAAGGCCAACGTCTCCTTTTATAGAGGCCAGGGGTGGCGTCACCTGTGCCTCCTGCTTATCTCTTCGCTACTGTATCTTCACGGGAGCTGGCTAAAGTCGAGGCCTTTCCACCGAAAGTTTTATTCTTCACAGGGATATGTCATTCACCGCACCCTATATTGTCCCCTTACTTTATAGGGTGTCCTTCTGGATTCCTTCTTGTGTAGTCTTCTGAATGTCTTTTATTCTTCTTCCACGCCCAAATTCTGATATTCTATTATCAATGTATATTGAAAAACATATTTAGCTTATATCAATTTCTTCATCTGGTTGCCCATGGCCACCAAGATCCATTGTGTCCAAATCAGAAAAAGAAACTTCTAATTTCTCATCTTCTACCTTTTTTATTTGCTCCAATTTCTGATCCATTTCTTGTTTTAATTCTTTAAGTATCTCTTCCTTCAATTCCTTCTTTAATTGTGGGGAGGCTTCTTCAAATTTTTCTATTATCTTCCAATCAATATATTCCCCATCTAATGGATCCACTCCTTTTGTTAAGCATTCCTTGTTTGTGGGTTTTTTAAAAAACCCTTCTTCTTTTATAGTCATCTTAATGGGTATTTCTGGGGTCTTTTTTCCTTTAGCTTTTTTGCATTTTTGAATATATTCTTTTGCAGCAGGCTCTAGATAATAATTTATTCCTAATATTTTTCTAGCTTGGCTTAATGCTTCATCAATATCCTTATATTTCTTCCAAGATATTCCTCCCATTAATTTAGCATCTATTTTTTGAGCCACAATTTCTTCAAAAGAAATGTAGACCCCAGGGAGCTTTCCATCAAATACTACATATATAGGCTTCTGTTGGATTACTTCATGATCTTCATTGGCAGGCATTAATAACCCATTTATTAGGTGAAAATATTCAGAGAGGCTATTCAATATTGATAACATATACCCTTTTTCTTCCCTTTTATTATTGTATTGGTACCAAAAATTATCCAAGATGCACTCTTGAACTTCATCTAGGATTATATGGTCCTTTGGCTTAAATTTATATGAATTTGGTGGGAATATTCTGAGTTTGTTGTCATCTCCAAATGTGAAGCACTCGACTCCGGCGTAATTCATTGATCTTTTCATACCTGAAATATGGGTAAACGAGAAAGCATGTCAGGTAAACTATTATCTTTCCCCTTAATATGTTCAAATATAACTCTATAACCATTTCCTGTAATAATGTCTTCAAATAAAATCCATCTTCTAGTTGAGCTTTTCTTGCTATTAAGCTGGTTATAGTACCTACAGATGGCTTCACAATCGGTTCTAACCGTGAATTCTTTAAACCCTAGGTATAACCTAAAGGCATTGATTGCATTGATAATTGCCATGATCTCTCTATTTGTATTATTGACAGTTTTTACTTTATAACTTCCAGAAGCATACCTACATATTTTTTCTTCTGATTTAGCGGAAAATTTAGTAGGTCTTTGCTTTAATATAGCACCCCAACCTTGTTGTGATGCATCGGTTTCAATGATAAAGTAACTTTCATCTAATGGTAATTCTAGAGGTTTTAGTTCTTTCACTTTTTCTTTTATTAATCTCACTAATTTAATGTCTTCAGAATTAAAATATTTCTGACCATTTTTTCTTAATTTAGCGTATAAAGGTCCTGCTAGCTTTGCTAAATTGTTGATGTGATTTCTAGCATAATTTACAAGTCCTAAGAATTGCTGTAATTTCTTTTTATCATTCATAGCATCAGGAAATTGTAAAATTTTCTTAGCAATATGTTCTTGCAAATGAATTTTGCCTTCTCCTATTTTATGTCCAAGGAAGTTAATTTTTTCTTTGCATCTCTCCATCTTCTTTTTTGATAGGATTAAACCATTTTGCTCAACCTTTCTAAAAAATAATTCTAGGTGAGCAATATGATCCTTATAAGTTTTTGAAAATATTAACAACTCATCTATATATACTAACACAAATTCTTGATTATCGTTAAAAATGTTTTGCATTTTTCTTTGAAATAGGGCAGGTGCATTTTTTAATCCTAGTGGCATCACAAGCCATTCATAGTGTCCCTGGGGACAGGTGAATGCAGTCCATTCTATAGACTCTTCTGCCATTTTTACTTGCCAAAATCCAGCTTTTAAGTCAAATTTCAAGAAATATTTGCTACCTTGTATCCTATTAATCCATTCTTGCTTATTTGGGATATTATAGGCATCTTCTATAGTATTATCATTTAGCCTTTTATAATTTATGACCATCCTAGATTTACCTCTAACTTCTTCCGCATGATTTCTTACTATAAATGCTGCAGACCTATGTGGACTTCTACTCTCTCTTATTGCTCCTAGTTTCAGTAGTTCTTCTATATGCATCTAAAATTCTTCTATATCTTTCAGAGTTGCTTCTATTGGGCTAGTCTTAATAATATATTCTGGGTTTATTATATTAATTTTACACTCGATAGCGTTTTTCTCCCAATATTTCATAGGAATTTCTCCTATAATTTGGATATCCTCTAATCTTTGAACGATTTTTTCTATATCCTTTTTAGACTTAATATCCCTATACCAATTTGGTGCAAATGCTTGTAATCCTATGCACTCTATATTGGAATTTGATATATAATAGATGTCTATATTCTCACTAAGTTCATATTCATTAATTCTTTCTTCACACTCAAGGTTGAGTGCTTCAAGGTTGTCGGGTTTGATTCTGGCTCCACCACGCTTTCGTACCTCTGAGATATATGGCACATTGTTTTGATATGGGATAAAAGTAATTCCTAGCTCATGTATT